TGTTTCCCATTGAGAGGTGACTGGTAACGAGAGAGCGATGCGTTCACGCGTAAGTTCACACGCGCGTGTTATTGGCGCGTGCTGTTCGCGCGAATTTCTCGAATTTCTCGAATTTCTCGAAGCCGACGGTTTCCCCTTACCAATCAAACACTGTAATTTTACCCCCTTTTTTCAACCCTGGGCTTTCGTGCATGGAGTACAACTACTTTGTTTTCTTTCCTTTAATAATCTCATGAAAACTAAAGATGGCCCATGAGCTAGCCGAATTGTATAAAATTATCTAAAGCGGGAATGCTGTATCCGACGCCATATCGCTTCAATTTCTGCATGTGAAATCAATGATAAGTTAAATTTGTGTCTCTGGTAGCTGATTTTCTAGTTTTGCAACCAAGATATTGAACGGATTATGAATGTGAAAGAACCTGAAAACGCATAAAAACAGCGTTGTCCGGAGTCTAGAAAGATAAGAAAACCGAACCTGTACAGTTCCCTTGCCAATTAAAATTCTCGGAAATAATAAAGTTACCTGATTTGAAGAATTGTTCTGCGAAGTTCCGAAGGAAGCGGCCAAGAAAATGGCCAAAGTCATCAAGAAGAACAGTCGAAACATTTTCAGTATTTCTTAGTGGAACTGACCGTATTCACAAATAGAGCAGTGCATGAATGTAAGCTTAGAGTAAGGGAGTTGAGATCTCTCTCATGAATACAAAACGCGAAAATATACGAGATGGAAGGCCTATTGTTTTAATGTTTTCGTTCATGACAGATAAGACAAAGCTGATCTTGGCATTGATGACTGATGGTCTAAAGTCTAAACTGTTTAGGACTAAAAGACAACCGTCCAGAGTGGGCTTCATGTGTGCACCTTCCCCCACCCCACTTATCACCCCACATGCCTTTACTCAGTTGCCACAGTTCAAATAGTGCAAAAAATATAAAATTAACTAAGTTATCTAAGTTGCAACTTAAAAGACAACCGTCCAGAGTGGGCTTCCGGTGTGCACAATCCCCCAACCCACTTATCATCCCACATGCCTTTACCCAGTTGCCACAGTGCAAATAGTGCAAAAAATATAAAATCAACTAAATGACTACGGTTGTAACTAAAGTTTATTAAAAAAATCTGTTAAGGTTCAGTAACTTACGCCTATAACAACAGTGGCTGACGAGTCGTTCTGATTACACTGACGTCTTGTGATTGGACATTTTAGATTGAGTTTATCACTTTTTTGCGAATTTCAGTCCTGTAAGCTAGGGTTCCTTTCAGTGAGTTCAGTCATTATTCTAATGTATTTTACTCACTCCCAAAGAATACTTTAGACCTAATTAACAATTTACGCATAAGATTTGTATGAAAAAAGAAAAAAACTGTTGAACATTAGTCGTTAAAACCAGGTTGCTATGATTTTATTAGCCTGGTTTCCATATGATCACTATCATCGCTGTGATCGCTGCGATCGCTGAGCAAAAAAAGTTCATCGATCGTAGCGATCATAGCGATCATATCGAAACCACCTTCTAGCGATCGCAGAGATCGCAGCGACAACGATCGCTGAGATAGAGCTTTTTCTATCTCAGCGATCGTTGTCTCTTCGATCGCTGGAAAGTGGTTTCCACATGATCGTTATCACCGCTGCGACCGCTGAACTTTTATTTTTCCCAGCGATCGCAGCTATCACAGCGATGGTGGCGATCATATGGAAACCAGGCTTTAGAGAGCCGGAGAAATTACATATATCTGCATTTTGCAGCCCCCCTTAAGCCTGGTTTCCATATGATCGCTACGATCGCTGCGATCATTGAACGTTTCTTTTTTTCTCAGCGATCATAACGATCATATGGAAACCAGGCTTTACAGATGACGTTTCTTGTTGTTAATCCTTGAAAAATGAATGCTTCATAGATTCCGTCCTAGCCAAAAAGTTTGAACAAAATTTCGCCAAAATTTACATCAATCCTATTTTGTTTGTATATTTTTTTTTTCGCATCCAATCAATTCAAGCTCAAACAAAAGGCACTCAAAAATTATTTATACAAGAGAATTCTGAAGACTGCCAAGCTCAGCCAAAACAAAAAACTGCGTTCATCAAACCTAACTGGCGTCGAAACACCCAAATTAAGGCTTTTTAGATCAACGAGTACTGAACGAAAGCCAAATTAGCGAGTATAAGCGACGGCGTTTTTAATGCAGTCTTTAACCGGAAACTAGTTTTTACCGAGTCCTTTTCTCTTGAATTATGCCTTGGCGCTACCAAATCAGGCTATTGCTAAGTATCTTTAGTCTTACAGCGACGATTTGCCCGGAAATTTGGTCAAAGTCATATATGGCCCAAGAAAACAAAAAGTCTACTCCCAGTTGACGTACGACGCTCAAAAACGTCGTTACTTAAACTTGCAGTTACTTGAAGATGGACGTAAAGGCTAGTATCTCATTATACTATATAATGACTCCCATGGCAAACGAGATACCGAAACACGAACTTAACGAGTGGTTGAAAACATTAATTTTTGCTCTCGAACGAATGTGTCTGCTAGGACCAACTTTCAACTTACTAACGAGAGCGCTACGTTTTCAGTTCACCCCCGTATATCGACTTGACTGATACAGAACTCTCTCTGAGAGAGCGCTTAATTAAAGGGATGTTGAAGAATCGTAAAGGAAAATAATATTTTCCGGTTTGTTCTTATGTTGTTGTTGCTTTTTTTTAAGTTACAGTGAATAATTTCTAAAAGGCTTTCTTAAGTATCTTTGTCTGTGTGTACACGGCGGTGTGATACAAAAGTAAAGATGGACGGCTTGTTTGTTCTGGTTAACGATAATTGATACGGAGTTTGCGCTGCAAACAATATCGCATGCAAATTGGCGGATTGAAATTTCTCACTCACCCTGATAATACTCATGCAAAATTTAAAACAATCTTGTCTTCTTTTCCTAACCTTTTAACATGCACTTTTCTTATACAACACCAGCAGTTGCAGCCGGCTGGCATTAACTAGACGCTGAGTTATTATAATCAACCTATTAATTTTGTAATTCTCATAGTATTTAATTTAAACGTCGTTCTTGGAAACATTTTGACCTTACCATGTAGGAAAGCGATACTTTCCAAAGGTTAGTAAAGCGTGTCTCGTTCGGTACATATATGAATTTTGATTTCTGCTGAGACTGGAAGAGTATTAGGCTATCATTATTGAGGGTTCCGATCAGGGAGTTCCGAGTGTAAGCAAGGGGACATAAATTAAAATTACTAAAAACTTTGGTTTGTTAATTTTTTATTAGGGCAAGCCAAGAAACGATTTCGTTGTCAGGATACGTTCTCGACAAAGTAGGCACCTACTTAAGAGACTTAATGTCACGAACAAGAATTTTAAAGAAAACATCAACTGCCGAACAGTTATTTATGTTCCAGACTAATATGGCGATATTTTAAAAAACGGTTCAAGTATCGCCATATTAGTCTGGATCGTAAGATTCGTTGTCAAAATAATGCGCAGTTCAGCAGATCGATCATGGCGGACACTCAAGTCAGATTTGAATAAACAAATTTCTCTTTTAAGACTTTGGCAATTATTCCGCGAGATTTAATCTTTCCAGTCTAACTATCTCCCAAAGATTTAATAATTCATTCAGTCTTCGACCATGATGAAAAAATAACGAACTTCACGCAACCTCGAAATAGATTCAAATGACGGCTCAAGACGGCAGTGAAAGCGTCGGCAAAAAATGAATTTGCGTTCTTTCATGGCCAACTTAATTTTACCTCGTTAAGAGTCGTCCAATATGTCAATGTAGGTAAATTTTCGTGGAGTTGAATTCCAGGCTCGAAGAGTCGCATTAGGATCAGTTTTTGCGTCGGTAGTCTGACAGTCGTGCAGTGCGCGTCAAAGAAAAGTACCAAAATGCGGAAATGTCGGATGCACATGCCAGCTGACATGCAGAGCTGTTGCTTTTTTTCTCACGAAAGCAAATGCTTTTTAACATTCTCAATGCCATGGCTGCTCCCGAGACTGCTTTTGCTTTGAAAACTGATCATGAAAAAACTATACAGTTAGTCGCTTACCATATAAAACAACAGTTATCGAAAACGCACTACTTTGCTCTCCCCAAAGCTCTTGGCTCTCTGGCAAGCGAACCATCTGATAGAAAATCCCCAAAGCTCAAACTGATCGCTATTTCGGGACCACACAGCAGATGACAATAGATCAGTTTACCGTGGCGTAAGAAGGATTTTTGTTCCAAAAAAGCGGACTAGTACAAAAGATAGATCGCCCGTCTGTTGGTGTTTGTCTTCCTGTTTGCTTACGAAAAACAAAGCTATGTCAGTGTTAGCTTGTTAAATACCAGTTAAGTGAAGTCTCGGGTGCCTTGCATCTTGTCCACAACGGAGATTTTAAAATTTCGGCCAGAAAGGCGAAGAAACTCAGCGAGGTCGGTTTCGACGTACAAAACCGTCCTTTTTCAATAAGAGCAAGTAAAAACCTGTACAAACGGCTTGGAAACTAAAATTTCATCAGTTTTTTTTTTAATCAAAGGAATTGGCATGAATTTTATTCTGACATGCCAAATTAGCTTTAAAAACCAGCCCAGGAGTCACGTTAATAGCCTAGGAGATATTTCATAGGCTCAGGCATGAAAAAATACTCAATATCTTCATTAGTAATAAATTGTATATTCAGGGCATGTAAAATTCGGGCGCATGCCCTCGGTGGGCAAAAATGGCCCAGGTCATGTCAGCCCAGGCCTCTTGCTGATTGGGGAACTGAGCCCCAGACCTCTATCGGGCAGAAATTCGTGGTCGGCATGCCGGGCATGCCAAATATGACTTGGCATGCCCGGCATGCCTATTTCACAGGTTGGCATGCCCGGCATGCTCGGCATGCCAATTTGAAGCTTTAGCCGAAGTCGTCGTCGGGCCCAACACATTGCCAAAACGTTTGATTATTCTCTTGGAAAGATTATTGTTATTTTTGTTTATTCTCAGGGAAAGATAAAGGCCATCACCTAGTTTTGGAGAGGAAAATCAATACTAAACAGGCTGCGTTTTTATGCCGCTCGTGGTCATAAGCTGAAACATTTATCAGAGAGTGTTCACGCGGAACGGGAGCGAAGTCGAGTCATTATAAACAGTGGGGTCACTTTTCCACTGGTCAGAGTACAGGTCACCATGATAAAATGAAAAGCATTAAAAGTGTCTCCTAGTCCTAATATTCAGGAATCTCTAGCTTAACAAAATTCTCTATTAAATCAAGGGGATTCCGTGTGATTTTGTAATTTTGCAATGGAGAAGGTCCCCGAGCAGTGACCTTTACTCTGTGACCTGTACACCCGGCATCGATGGTATTCGTGACGACAGAACCAAAGAATTAAACAATAATAGAAAGGAATCATTGTTACTGTTTTATTTTTCTCTCGCGTATCCACTGCCAACTCATTAGCCTGTGTCAGACAGGTCCCAGCCACTCCTAAGAAGCTATATAAAAGTAAAGTTTATATTTTACAATATTTCGCGCACATCTCATAACTGGTTCAAAATATTTTTTAACTTATCATCTGAATTAAATTTTCAAGTTCGAAACGACATAGGGGTAATCGCTTTCAAACGCAGTCAAAAGAAGATTGAGTTGTGAGATTTACCCGATTAGCTTGCGCGGCAGGCGTTCCAATATTCGGGCGCCGGCGTGGCAGTTGTCCCTTTCGTATGCGGTCGCTGCCATTTTTAAGACAAAAATGATAACTTTTGACATGTTGAAAGCGTTTCTATTAAAAAGAAAGAAAACTGCAACCCAGGGTCGAATCTGGACCTCGAACCCGGACCTTTCGTATCCTTATCTCTCTCCTACTGACTAGTGTGACCCGCCAAAATTCCGGAAAATTGCATGTAAGTACATCACTAGCAAACTGTCTTTCTTAACTGTTACATCAATAACAAATGTAGCCTGCGACGTTTCTCCTCGCTCATCGCTGCTAAGGGAATCTCAGCGGCGATGAGCGAGGAGAAACGTCTGCCGCTCGCAAGCTATAACAGATGACCTTAGCCCTTCCCATAATGAGCTATAATGGAAATATATTACATACATCATGCCTAAAGGCTTAGTTACCAATTGTGGCAATGGCAACGACCGTTTACGGATGGGAATAGGCGCCGGCGTAACCGTACCCGCTTGGACCGGAGTCACACAAGGGCTCCCGGCGTTGGAAGATTTTTTTTTTTTTCGTTCACATCTCATAACTCCTGTCTGACTAACGTAAAAAAAACACATTCACTGTCAAATATGGTCAGTGGTGTGGGGGACTGGGCGACTCGTTCCCAAATCTCACTCCTCATGGATGCCAGACAGTCTCTCTTTGTACAACTGCAGATCTCTTTCTGAGGCAATTACTGCCATCGTTCCATTTTTTACTGCCTTGGCGACATTGACTGTAAGATAAGAAAAAACATACGGATTGTCAAATCTGTGATCTGAGGTGGAGGACATCTTTACAAATGTAAGTTTATAATTTATGGTAAGACATCAGTTCTAACAAAGGATTACGAAGATGCAAATCAAGTGCAGGTGGACTGAATGGGTAGCAGGACTGTTTGATAAATATAGGGATCTATAGGTACTACAATGACGTTTATAGCAAGTATTGATTCTTTACATGTAATTCTTGATATTCAAAATTCTTATTCGCTTTGTCGGCCTTTCTTTTTGTTTCAATCAATCAATGAAACTTTAATTTGTAAAATAGGGTAACACCTAAATATAGTTAGACAACTATTAACTTGTGGCCCTCTTAATTAGTAACATAAATTACAAGACCAAAAATAATACATAAGAGAATACAAGACATAGAAGCTAAACTAAAAGATAAGTACATATTACTACATAATCAGCCAGTCTGTCGATTTTCAGTCGAGAAAGTGCTAGTGTTGGAATGATTTCAGCTGTTACTTTTTACATTATCGGTGGGGCCAAGGCAAACCAATTATTAAAACCGGTTGTTTCAAATTTCTTAGTATTAAAAGGAAAGAAAAGTTTCATATGAGTGTTGAATATAATGGTCCATTTCTCACCATCTAATGTGGTATCAACCACTAAATCTTGTGGAAATTTGATAACGTCCATTAGATCATGGAGATTGTCGAAGAAATTGGTCACCAATTTTTGCTCTGGTATGGGGAGGTGGAATTTTTGTTGGATGGCTGAGGACATTTTTGTAAGTAGCATCACAGGTTCACATGTTGCTGGTAGTTCTTTGTCTGAAATTTAAATAGAGCAAAATAATTTGATTAAAAATAATTAAAAATTTTTTAATTATTTTTTTTTGCATTTTGGTTCTGATAAACTGCCTCAAAACAGAGCAGACCGAAGGTTAACACTCAGTGTAAAAATGTACGTAGTGTCTAACATGTAGTGAAACCTGTATTAAGCGGACAGCTTCGAACCTTCCCAAGTGTCCACTTAATAGAAAAATGCAAAGTCTGCTCTGTTCATTTCCATTTTTTCTTAGTAACCAACCAACTTGTGTATAAAAGCACATGCTGGCAGCAACACTAATTAATCCAATTGAACAGTCTCATCTTGTGATGGTAAAATAGCCAGAGAAAGAAATTTGCGCCTGACTAAGATTCTGACATGGAAATTCAAAGAATTGAAAAAAAGCAAACAATAATTTTATTGTTGGCTTTCTTATATTGTTGTGTGCAGAAGGTCACCGGTTTGCATAAATGCATATACATGCTGTTACCATTACATTTCTTAAGTCTAGGAATGTTATAAATACCTGTCACTTTGTGTGACCTGATGGTAGTTTCCTTCAGTAAAACTGCGTCAGCTTCCAGGTTGAGCTCCTTTGCCAGTCCAAACAGCCCCCCCAGCTGTTCAAAGGAAGTAAAGATGGCAAATACTTGCCTTTGGAGCTGTCTGGACTGGAATTTTTGAATGATTACTCTTATCTCATCCTTGGAGAAGCTCTAAGTTGGAATTGTATTAATAGTAAGATTAGAATAATAGATTAGATTAGAATTAGAAGTGTCCTTTTAAAATGGAGATGTAATCCTTTAAACAGGCTAATTACGTTCATGCAAGTTCTCCCTGATTTGCTGAGAGAACTGAAGGGAGGATAAGATCGATAAAAAAATACCACTTAGGCAACAATTGCAATCAGGTCTCATAAACTGTCCTCTTGGTGGCACACTGATAAATAAAAATTATTGATCTCGGTTTGGTTAAAAGCACATAAATAAAAATGCTTTGTTTATCAAGAAAGAAATGAGCAAGAAGCCATTTTCTTTTTCACAATAACTGAGAGAATCCCCATGCGCTAAGGTCGAGAGCTATGCTCTATGAGAGTATAGACAATGGAAATGACGTAACATGTCATGCATGATTTTCCAAGAAACTTTGGAGGAAACTAAAATTACGTGAAGTTGTAAAAAACAAATCGACCACAATTTTCCATGGTTTACACTCTTATAGACCATAGAAATGATATGCTATAAAGTGTTCAAAACTTTGGAGTGAAACCACTCACCTGCGGCTCGTGGTTGCACTTGAGTTTTGAACATTTCATAACTGCATGTCATTTCTATGGTCTATAAGAGTGTGGATTATGGAAAATTGTGGTCGATTTGTTAAAAGGAGTATGCCAAATGCAGACCACTGTTGGTGAAAGCAGTCCCTGTAAATTTTGTATTCAAAATATTATAAGATTGGTATATAGATAATTCATATGAGACAAGACATGTAATCTTACCTCATCACTGTTCACACACTCTGCTACAATCACTTCAGCTTTGACTTTCGGTGGGTCTAGGGCTGTCCCTACCAACATGGAAACTTTGGTTCCTTCTGCCTCCCAGGTTAAGATGTCTGCAGAGTCCTCCTCCTGTCCCTCTTCTTGTTCATCCTGCAGTTTTAGAATAAATTCGTATAGCAGAGCAGGCACTTTTTCGATGTCGTCAAATCTGAGGGAGAAGTTAAATTTATGTTAGAACAACATGAAAACTCCATCCCTGTAAATGAAACCGGCGATTATCTGCAGAGCCGGGATGTTGAAGGCTGTGTCAAGGTAACACAGGGTTAGTGTAAACTTTCAATTTAGATAACTAATATGGAAGCTTAACATATAAAATTAGTTATAATTCTTTTTGGCTGCAATTTGATCATTGGAAACTCTTGAGGCTGATGCTTGGCTCCATAATTATTTGGAAACTTTTAGTGAGCCCATGCCCCACGCAGATATTTTTCATTTGCATGTAAAATCAAAGAAGGAAGTGTTTGATGAAAAGCCAGAGAGGTTGTCCATATCTGATTCAACATTATATAAGTTATGGGATAGCAGAGTTAAGATCCCAACAAAGGTTTGTCTTACTGTTAATTTGATGGTTTAATATAATGATGTGATGGAAGTTTCTCCATGATATAAGGCATTTCTAATTCATTTTCAGAATATTTAAATTCTAACTGACTTAATAGTATTGTCACAATTTACTCTGACCCAAAATGGTATTATAGCATTTGGCATTTAAGGTCGTGGGTGTCTCTTTGAAAACTCAAACATGCAAAAATTTTTGTATCTCTCTGCCATCAAGCTGTTTTAAGAGGTTGACTTCTTATCTCATAAAGTACCGTTCTCCCTTTTCTTATGGCTAGATACACTGATTTTATAAGTCACATTTATTTAGTAAATTGATATAAACAATTGCGCTAAAAAAATGGATCAGTAATATATGAAATAAATCATAATATGAACTTCTTCATTTTCAATTGTGCTAATGTTATTATTGTTTCTTCTTACGTGTTAGAATCACATTTTTGCAAAATGTCCACAGTGCCAGGGCCTACGGAAGAAGTGTTTTGATTGTGGTAAAAATGCTGCAGCAATAAGTGCCCTCAAAGATGAGAGGAAAAAACACAAGAACTTGTACATGTAAGACTAGCATCATTATAATATCTGATGATCAGATAGCTTCCAACAATGATTCAGTCGTTGAATTTTAGAAGATTTGGAATATTTAGAATATTTCACTCCACTGTCATTAATATCACTTTGCCCACTTGAACGAACATTACTTTGCCCATTGAAGTTCTTTTCCTGCCCTTACGTTAAAAATTGTTGACAATCACCAGTTGCATCAATTTTTTCAAAAAAAGGGCATTAGGTGATCAATCATATTGATGGTTTTGCGTATCACTATTATCAAAGACCGATATGGGACTGAAAAAATGAGTAATATAAAACATTAAATGCTCAAACTTTGCACCAAAACAAATTTGCGGGACTTAATGATGTTTTCAATATTAATATTGCACACAAAATTAGGCTTGATATTGTTTCGACTAGATAAGTCTACAAATAACCCAAAACTAATATATTAATTTTTTGTTTTACTTTTTGTAGGGCTGAAAAGCAGAATTACTACAATAGGCAAGTCGTCAGTGTCCACCAACCCGACGATCTACTCTCTGTAATTTATGATGGGATGCATAAAGAGAAGACCAAGCTCCCACGATATTCCAAAAACGCAGCAAAAGATCTCGAATCTATACAACGGATTCCTTGTAGCCTTCTGGGTCTTATTTGCCATCGACAAGGTACGAAGTGTATTTACAGGATAAGTGAAATTAGATTTAAGGGAGATTATTGTTTGCATTTCTTATATATTTTTTGTTGAAATCCTAGTCCAATTACAAATATTTTCCCTACAGGCTGGCTCACTCATTTTCTTTTTGAAGGGTAGTTTTGGAGCCTGTTGATCATTGTTCAGATCCCCACAAACATCATAATCAAAAACACAATATAACACCTATTTTTGCATGAGCCGAATACTTAAATTCATCCATATAATGGAAGTCCATTTTTGATTTCTCATTACAGCTATTATAGAAACTTACTTTGGACAGTGTTAGATAGATTTTACTTATGCATTAACATTGATGTTAGTGTTCTTGACTTGTCTTTAAAGGATCAAATGACCAGATTAAACAAGGGACGGGATTTCTCAACCTGGGGTGCTACAGCGAGAATGCGAACTACATTTTAAGTGCTTTGGTCCACTTGCTTGCAAATCCTTCCTCAACACCTGGGCCCTTTTCAAGAAACCTAAGCCTGCAATTTGACAATGCCTCAAACAACAAGTGCTCGTTGGCAGTATCTTTCTTTGGCTACCTTATATCAGAGGACATATTTCATAATGTAAGTGTGTTGCGTATTATTTTAAGGGCAAGAATATGAAGAGTTCTTCAATCCTGTACTTTAGTCAGAAATGATTTTCTTCCTTATATGTATAGGTCTATGGAAACACTCTGATTGTTCATCATACTCATGAGGATATTGACAGGTACAAGTATAATTGTACTGCCTTTTAGTATAGTTTCTTCCACAAAGATATGAATTTTACACGGGGTGCAAAGAAAGTCATTTTAATTTTACAGCTTATATTGCCATTCAGGCCAGCTGAAGCTAGCATTTACAGCCCAAATGTCATTTCAACAAGCCCCCAAAATTTTTTGATGAGCAGAATTGATTTCGTAGTTCTTCTGTAAGTTGAATTCCTCAAAATACCTCACTTGCTGTCGGGCAAGTTAAGAACAGAATTCACCAGCCCGATAGCAAAATCCACTAGCCCCGGGCTATACGACACTACTAATTTCTTTGCATGCTGGTTTTACAACAAAGATACAACAATGGACAAAACAGTCAGCCGGCCGGGAGGCCTATTTAAGGAAACTGTTAATATTGTGCTCTTAATGTTATTACTGATTATACCCTGTTTTATAATCAACAAAACAATCTCAGCTAGCTAGTGCAGTGCAGACCTCTTAGAGGGAATAAAAGATGTTATTAACCGTATGTTAGGACATAATTAAATTTTTGTTTTCTTTTATACCTATGGCTTGAATTTTAGCAGAATTTCATCAATTAATTTACAATTTAATATTGCTTAAATGAAAAGAATTTTAACATTAACATTTATAGTTAAAAACAACCATACAAACAACATTAAATTAATATATTGATATGCAAATAATATTGTTTAAATATTATAACTTGCTAGCATTGTTTGTGTTCTTGCCTGATTGTTGTTGTTTTTGTTAAAAATATGGTTGTAATTTGTTCCTCTGTTACATTATTATCAGAATGTTTGAAAATGCAAACAAGCATTTCCGGAAAGAAGACGTGGTTACACCATGTGGTATGTCATCTGGATATTTTATTAATATTAATTTGCACCATTTTTATTGGCAGTTGCTTTTTCTTAACCAGCTACTGCAGACAGTCTTGCAACAAAAAAAGTAAGAAACAGGATGGGCTCAATCAGATTCAAGGATTCTGTTTGTTCAAGGATTTTGTCATGCATTTACATGAATGGAGCTATAAGTTAATGATCTTTAATTTGATGATGATGGTTTATACCGTAACAGCACATGTATTACATTTTTAGCATACTTAAATTACATTAAATTAATATCAAATAAATTGAATCAGAGCCCGCCCGTGGGGGGGTACTCAACAAATGTTTATACGGAGAGGCTGAGGCCCCCCCTGAGGTCCATTCCTATTTGTCACAAAAAAGGTTACCCTAATTAAATTCCACATATCTTGTTTAGAACTAACTGCATTCCCGTTTCACTGCTGTAAATGTATTGTCTTTTAAATAGGAATCAATCACAAAAATGGAAAGTTTTTGGACTTTATAAAAGCCATAAAATTCATCTGTTAGCTCTCTTCCACAGACGCAAATGACATATATATTTCCCTTAACCCTTCCATGTCCTTCAACTATTGAAATCCCTACCCTTTCATAGTCAGGGCTTCTGATATTTCGCGCGGTCGCGGACCCGCGAAATTCCCCAAAAAACGCGAAATTCCGCGAAATCCGCCAGAAATATTTCCAAATACATGTCGCCAAAACATATTTAATACTTATCTTGCACCGGTTTTATTCACCCCAAAAGTCCAAATTTATCTTGAAACTTCGTCACTGCAACAAGTAAACAACGTCCCAAAACTACCAGGCGTTTCTAGATTAACGTTTCGAAAAACTGGGCACTAACCATAAAAGTGCTAATTGGGGACACTATTTTTACATCTCCTAAATTATGGAGACGGGACCACCATTATACTTGTTCATCCAAGCCACGCGAAGGACTAGCTGTTTGAAGGACATTAAGTAAGTTAAATAACCTTCATTTCTCAGTTATTTTAAGACCCTGAGTATAATATCAATATCGGTAGACAAAAAAAAAGGTTGGAGCAAACTGTATCAAATGACATTGTTCTTCTAATCTGTATTATAGAATTGTCTGATCTGATGAAGACGGTCCCCTATGTGACTGATGTAGATTTAATTCCTTGTGTATGGGACCTTGAGAAATTTTTACAACCCTTTGTACGAACTGTCCATGATTTTGCTAATGTGCATCATTTTTGGGTGCACAAAAATGCAGAAGGTAAGTTTTTTAAGTCAGATTGTCCACTTTGTTGTCACCTCAGTAAAATTTTATGATAATAATAACACCTTGACCGTATATACCCATTGAAAAGATCTTGATATAGTGACGTTCAGCTTCGTAAGATCATAATCATGAAAATATGAGTGAAAAGCCAAGAATGTGCCAGTGGTTTTTTGGTGACGCAGGAACACATTAAAAGTGATTGGTCCAGAACTTAAAAAATTTTATTTAACTTATTACATAATATAGCCCTCGAAAAGCACCTTTGGACCCCACCAAGGAATGGGCTGGCTCTAATAAAGTTAACTAGAAGCAATTTGCAATGAACGCTTAATGGGAACATCAACAACAGCAGCGATGTATATAATAATAGTCAGTCAAAATTCTTGTGGGTGACCACCTCCCATGCATAAGTGACTGCCAATCCAAAACAACAAAATTGTGCTAAACGTCAAATAGAAATAATTTGTGCTAGTACTCGTGGCCAACCTCCAGTAATTAAATGACCTCCTCCTGTAAACGACCTGATGCAGGTTAATGATTTTCCATTGCTTTTTTAACCTCTTGTAAGCGACCACTTGAAGCTTTCTTTCATGATCTCTATGTATGTTGTCTGCATGCTAGGATATACGAAGAATGTTAGTGACAACATGGAACTACATATATGTCAATTACATTATACATTACATGTATTACATCATCTTTTAGTATAGATGTGCATGGACTTCTTTTCGGAAAAACTAGGCCTCCTTTTGTTCAATTCTTGTAAACGACCACCTTCCGTATTTTGAGACCACTGTTGGTCTTTGCATTTTTAGGTGGTCGCTTACCGGAGGTTTGACTTTATTTGTAATGATGCTTCATATTCTCCTGAGCAGGTAATGTAGTACTCCATCATAAAAGATATGCAAAGGACCAATGGAATCCCAGGTCTGATGACCATTCAAGCTTCATTTCTGAAGAAGACAGACATGGAGTGCTATTATTTAAGGTATAAACCCATTTTAACCATAACTGTTAAAAAAACAAGCATGTTATTTTTTTTAAGAATAATTGATCACCTTTAACTTGTGAAAAATATTTTAATAGTTGTACTTAACTTGAATATAATATTGTATCTCATTCAATTTCTTCCAGGAAACTAATCACAATCAGTCCTTGAGAATCTAAATATTAATAGGCAAAAAATTTAAAGCTTACTCACGTCGAACCAATTAATATTGAATCATTGTTTTGTTATGTCAAGTTTATAATTTTTGAATGATGTATCATCAGTTTTATTATCATAGGGAATGTTATTAACCTGATGAATTCTGCAGAGGCTCACATTTATAATATCTCAGTTTTATAGCCACATGAAATTGGATATTTGAGTGAAATAATTTTTTGCAAATTATATTAGTAAGTATAATGTAGAATGTGATTAAAGTTTAAACTTGTGTAACATTAGTGAACATTTCTTCTGCCATTAAACAAAAAGGCAAAACCTCAAGGGATCCCTTCACTGGTAGAGCCTGTAATGCCTATAAATGGAGAGGATATGGATGTCTTGAAGTCAAACATTAACAAGTATGTTGACAATTTTTAATGTTCATGGAAAAACCCTGTTATTACATTATAATGATAATATTTATTAGCAGTGATGGTAATAATGATGGTGATAGTAGCAATGACTATGAAAATATATCTTTAGAAAAACTGAATCATTGGATAATGCAACTCTAGCTAGAGCTCCGATTAGCTTAGCCATCATGACATATATGAGCCATCATATATACCATGCTCTCCATATATGCAGGTGACTTAATTTACCAGCTGCTCTAAACTAAAAACGATTGAATATTGTTTGTTTTGACTAATAAAGTCAGGAGTAATTCTCTATATTTTGTGGTTTTTTTTTTAATAAAACAATTTATTATTCCACATGTGCTTGTTGGATATGAGATGTTTATAGCTATAACTCATATCCAATGCACATCTGTGGAAAAATAAACATTGTATACATGTATCTTGATTAGGAGCACTGATGATTAAATTCCATGACTTTCCAGGCCTGAAAATTGAAATTCATAAATTCCATGACTTTCCAGGTTTTTTCAAGACCTGTACAAATTGCCCTATACTGAGGACAATTAGTAATACGTTGTTAGTTAAAGTTTAAACTTCATTAAACATCATGCATCTGTACTGTAGAGTTATGTGATGTTTCAGATTTGCCTGATTTTCTATGGACATCATGCAGATCTCCAGCTAGTTTGAAAGGAAAATAGTGTTAGTTTCTTAGTTGTCTTCTTTCATTCATGAGATCTCGTATCCCTGTAAAAATCTTCTGTAATAATGCCTGGTGGTATGATACTTTGTAGAATGTTTGAACACCCACTGCTTCAAGACAGCAAATTAGACAAACGAAAACAGTGGTGGAGTGAATTTTTGGCAGGCAAGTACATGCATGCCTTTATGATACAGGTTATGTTATTAATATGTTGTTCATACAATGATGTTTATAAAATCAATTAATAAAGGATCTCTGAAAAATTTTTTTGAGCATATCACTCACAATTTTATGATCTACTCACCATACTATTCACACACATGGAATCCCATGCATTCTAAATCCAATCTGAGTACAGAATGTTCTTTCATATGAAGGATACAGTGTTCATGAATGGCATTATACTGAATCATGCTGATATTGATCCTTTCAAGTAGGGATTTGAGCAGTTAACTTCATAACTGCCATAACTTTCACAGGGAATACATTGTCTCAGGGAACCCAGTGGTGGGTTGTTTTAACACAATATTGGCAAGGCATTTTGATTGATTTTGAAACTTTATTGTCTTCTGTCATTATGTCATTGTACCAGGAAGTCTGTATGGCACAGTGACCAAAATACTGTTTGATAAATCAAGATTATGATATACAAGCCATAATTATGTAAATTAACCTATGACTTGCCTGATATATTAATAGTGTAGCTAAATGAACATGGACTTCACAGCATTGGAGAAGTTCTTGAATGTAGGTTACTGGGACTAAATAATGATCGTTTTTGTTATATGCATGCATTATTGCTTTTTACTTATTCAAGGAGAATCTATTAAACCACAAAAAACCATTTGGCCATTGGATGCCCTGAAAAAGAGGAGGATGGCTCAAAACCAGCTTGATAATTATCAGGAAGGGGAAGCTGTTCAAGGGCTGGAATATTGCGAGGAAGAAATTCCAACAGTAAGTTTAATGCACAATAATATACATGGTATTTTATTTCTTCAATAAGGGTCCTCTAACTCACTTGAATAAATTCCATGATAGTAACGTGTACTTTTCTGTATGCAAATCTTCATTGTATACTGTTGCCGTTGTTTACATGTTTGCTTATTGGCATATGACTTATAGAAGTGTCACTTCTTCACTTTTTGGCTTTTTGAACGCAATATAACAGCAGTATATTGGGCTCAAATTCTCATAGATAACTGAAATTGTTACGCTCCCTCATTACTCGTATTTACTTTTTTTTAGACAACGCAAATAGAAAATGAAGGGCTTGTTAATAAAGGCAACAATCATAAACAAAGATTCACCTGTATTTCTCGGTTAAATTAAGTTACTTTGATTATTGTTTTAGAGTTATATTTTAGTTTGCATATGATTAATTAAGATTATATAGTTGCATGTATATGGTACCCAGGGAAGTATTCTGGATTTCAAGTGACAGGGATGATCAAATGGGGGCAAAATTCAAAACCCAAACAAATCCCTGGATCAAAATTTAACCCCCAAAAAATCCCCTGCCTAATTACTTAGCCTTAAAAATTTCCAGAAAGCATTAAGTGATATAACACGAGAAATAGAAACATTAGTTTTTAATACCCAAAAAATCCCTACTTAAATCAAGCTTAACCCAAAAAATACTTACCAAAAATTTCAAAGCCAGAAATATCCTTACATCATATCCCTGTCACATGAAATCCAGAGTATCCCCCTTGGGATGTTGTACCAAGTGCATACCCATAATTGTATATTTTGCTTTATTAAACTCATATTAAAGATTGATCCATCGTCAATGCATACAGTGACCTTTTTAGATTTTTTTCTCATTCCACATGACTTTATAACGACATTTACCTTATAGGTCTATTCTGGGCAGTACTTGAATCCATTGGCTAGACAGACAATGGTACAGGACCAATTAGCCCTAAGAAATGGGCAATGGCCCATTAAAAAAATTGTCAAGGAGCGAGTAAATCCAAGAACAGTAAGTGTCTTTGTTTACAAAAATACAGTTAACTGTCGGCATGTCTTCCTTTGGTTTAGAGAGAGGGTGTGTAGAACGATTTGGACTTGGGTATCTGATATTTCCTTTATTCATGCAGTATAGTAAGGATTGTATGAGAAGAAGATAAGCATTAAATTTTCCCATATGAACTTAGGGCCTGTTTACATGAAGGTGGGGGACCCAAGGTAGGTGATGTAACATGTGGCAGGTTATCCCACCTAACATGTGATCACATTAAAATGAGAGATTATACGGACAGGCTGGTTACTTAACCTACCTGGGGTCCCCCACCTCCATGTAAACAGGCCCTTGGTAATTTGTGAAGAGAAATGTAAATTCCTACCTGTTTTACTGGTTCATAATGCAGACAAATGAACCCAGAGTGAGACATTGTATGTGCATTGACGCTGCCATAATACAGTAGGCAACAACTGTCTTTGCTCTTAGAGATATTATCTGCCTTGAAATTTTGGGTAATTCACTCCCAAGGATTCAAAAAGTCTATTTCAGTCTGACGTGCCTCACTCAAACAACTTTTGTCAAACTGCGCACTGAGATGATTTAGAAATTTATTTGGTCAGTTACTAAGGAAGACGTATTTGCATTTTTGTTGACATTGTCGGGTCATACGTATTTACAAAACAGAATATATTACATTCAATGTCCTAAACAGTTTTCAGTAACCCTTAGTTTTTTGTTTTAAAATCATGTAGATGTGCATACACTGTACCTATTGTTCTTCTCTTCTGTTCGGTTACATTTTCTAATGATGTTTTTATGTTGTAATTTGTTAACTAGCATCGCCAGGAGTTCCTTGTTGATTGGAAGCCCAGTTGGGTCGATGCACATGAGGTGCAAACTACAACAATTGAAGAATGGCAGCATAGAAAACGAAAATCCAACTGATGCTGAGGTAAAAAAATATTAACATTTCTCAAGTTTTATACATCTTATTAGTTATAGGAAGAAAAGTAAAGAAAATAGATGTGAGAAAAGAGACAGATTATCTGAAAAGTGAGGGATGGTTGGGAAGTGTCTGCTTTCTATGTAAAACTTTAATTTTTTTTTGTTTCACCATGTGGAATTTTACTTCTACTTTTCTAATCAAGTCACTCCCTAAACTTAGGTAATGGTGAAATTTTATCAATATCAAAACTTTTTCTGAGGTTTCATTACAATGTTGCTATATATTTTGAAACTGACGTGATGCAGAATTCTGCTTTATCAGTCAATAAAGTAAAAGTAGAAGTTGAAGTACAAGGTTTTTCACTTCCCCTCTTTGAGTTCTTGTCTGTCTGGAATGTTAGATTTGCCTACTTTACTGAAAGCTTATTTTTAATGATAAGCTGTTTTAGACATTTTCATGCTTCTTTACAAAAGTTCTGTATTACGTTCAAATGGTCTGTTTCCTTTGAATGAACATTGCTTAACTCTTGTAATATTGTCCCTTTACCGTGCTTCTTCGTAAGGTTAATTATGTTGGACATCTTCTTATAAAACCAATTTGTTTGTGTACAGGTTCAGCGTACATATGCAAGAGCTTAGATGAAATATCCAGGTGGACCAAGTTACTTCCAAAACGTTTATCGTCGCCCAAATAAACTGTTCAACGAACCATAAAATTCATGAAGAGCGTACAGAATTCCAACCTGAGCAGTGATTCATAAATTCAATGAAAGTGAAAGATGGAAAATGATGGAAATGATGCAGGTCATCGATCGAAGCGTAGACTTTGTAGTATACATATGCAGTCTCCTTCAGTCGTGGCAAAATGAAGTTCCATTTGATTCATTCATTTATGTTAAAACCCTGCCAAAATGAAAATACAAGTAAAGAAGAAGTGAGCTTAAGTCCTTTTTGATTGTTTTATTACATGTATGTCAATTCAAACTACATGTTCAGGCGAACCAGTTGTCGAAATGACAGCACAGCGCGGTTGTTTTCAGTGTCCTGAGGACTGTGAATATCATAATAAAGTATTTTCGGTAATTTTGAATCTTGGTTTGTTTTTCAACCTCTCTGCCAACTTACCGTATTTTATTTCAATGACACGTCCACATACATCCTCAGACGAGAAGCGTAGAACCAGGCTTTTAGCATGAACAAACACAGGACTGAAGTCGATATGCCGCGTATGCCACGCATGAAATTCAAGACTGTCACCCTGGTATGCCGGGCAAGAAAACTAAGTTGGTACTCAGGCTTTCGCAACAAAAGTCGGCATGCCGGGCATGTCAGACTTGAAATTCAATGCCCGGCATGCCGGGCATGAAAGCTAAGTTGGTACTCAGGCTTTCGCAACAAAATCAGCATGCCGGGCATGCCAGACTTAAAACTGGCGAAAATCGGCATGCCGGGAGTGAAGGTTGGTGACTTTCGCGGCGCAAGATCATTGGCGCCCAGGCTTCTCTCGTGCGTGCTGTGTCTGTACACTCTAATTTACGACATCCAGGGCATGCCAATTTCTACATCATGCCGCTTACAACGTTAAACTCCCTAAGCTTGCCCCTCTAGCTTTAGTAAACAAAAAATGGGGACGTCAAGCATGCGAAAAATCGCTGCATGCCACACGTTATCGAAAGCACAGCAGAGATGCCCCATTTTATTCAGTCATGCCCTTGGAAAGGCCAAAAAGTCCCACTTATCCTGTTACGCGCGGGTAAAGTTTCCAAATACAGCATGCACCCATGCCGTCAGATAATGTTTTCTTCCTCTTGTAGATATCAGATGGTTAGTTACTCATGTTTTACGTCTTCAGAGCCTGAAATGACGCAAAATTCATGCCCTATCAGACAAAGGTCATCAAAATCCTACGAAATTTTACTTTCCAAGCCGTTTACATCAAAAGATGAATTTTATTTAAACGAGAATTGAAAAAATTCCCTTCATACCGAAGGCTTTGCACTTGACCTCAGTTCGGTATCGCTTTGAAAAGGGGGCCCAGGCCAACTCGGAAATGATCACACATGATATTTTTAACTTGAGTGGAGCTGCGCCGCTAAATATCGAGTAAAAAAGTGAAGTTGAGCTCTCGAGCCTGATAGATTGTTAATAGGATCAACTCAAGATATATACGTTTGACGATGTGTGCAAATCTGATGTTTGAGATCGAGGACAAAAGCCAAATTGTATTCATTGCACTCTTAGCTTTGTTTGGTCTGAAAGAACCGCCTCGCTTCAGGCCGATAGTGACTAGTTACTAAATTTACATCTGGAGGGAAAAGAAGACGTTTCAACTTGAAAGAGACTTGTACCAAGTTCGTTTCTGTCAATGGCTTCTTACGAAAAAAGTTTCGACCTTTGAAATTATTTTTATTGTCTGAGCATTTCCCTAATCTCCTCTTCCTTTTTGGTCTTGGAGTTGTACTTTTTTCCTTTGATGTTAGGAAAAAAATTAGACAGGCTGGTAGTAAAAAAGCTATGTCTATTATTATGGGTTAGTACACTGTTGTAACCAACTATTCTGCTGAAATATTCATTAATCTCTTTGCATTTCTCTCGAAACCGCCATAATTGTTCCTTTTATTCTTCTCTGCCAGTCCCCTCGGAAATAAAGATCAACCAAAATATGCCTTATAGTGCATCAGACGAAATATTCATCTCGGTGCCCATTGATGGATCCCCTCGAAGTTGGTGCGAACGAAATCTTTTGTTTAACTGGACTGAAGTAAGAACACAATTCACCATTCCAAGGAAAGATTTATTTTAAACTTTTTTTCAAGCGTATCTAAACCCACAATGATACTGACCTACCAAAAATCCTTGTTTTCAGCTAAATGAGCTGTAAATTAGTCTGAGATATTAATGAACTAGACTTGCAAACTAAACAATCAAATAAAACAAGAAATAATTGTTCTCTTTCCTCAAGCCGATGATCGAATGGAAAAAATGTTAAAAGTTACGACCAGGGTGGTTAATTGGCAGTCGCCCGTGATAGCTCGAAGATGTCTACCTTTGTTCCACAGGAACACCAGATTAGGATGCCTTCTGAGGAACGCGATTAGACTGTGAAGATGTGCCGACTGTGCCACTGGCTAAACTTGACTTATATGTCTTATATGGAGACCGGGCTTTCAGCACTGCTGAACTTGCCTCTTAGTATACGCAATTCCCCATCAGTAGCTATTTTAAGAAAAAAAAAAAAAGAAACATTTTGATATCTTTTTAATTTTTTTAAAGAAGCCTATGACTTTTAACTATTATTTCTAGTAAATGTATTATCTTGGTACTTTTCGATCTGTTTAGATTTGTAACTTTTATTTGTTGTATACATGTAGTAATATTTTTCGTTTTTTTTAATTAATGTAAATTTTATCTCAGAATTTTTAGCTTTCAGTTAATACTAAATTATTACTATTATTTTCTCTATAAACCTATAAGCAAAACTAAAAACTAAATGAAACAAAACGAGCAAAAATCAAGTCATTTTAGCTATTATTATAATCTTTCTAATGAAAGTATTGTTAACCCAAATTCATTTTACAGCCTGGCTTTCGGCGTTCGAGCGGCTCCTAAAAAAGCTTGACCTTTAATCCATGAAGTGCATTCGCGAATTTGTTCACACTAATGTTTTGTTTTACCTCCGTCGATCTGCTCTCAGAAATTTAGTGCAAAGTCGATAATCTGTTCTATGGTATAATACTCGAAATTTTATCCAGGACACAGCTAATTGAGCTGAAATGGTTATTACTTTATCATTTAGATCTCACTGTTTTTTTTTATGGCGTTTACTTGGTAAAAATAGTCTCCGACTACTTCGCGCTTAACTTATATCCCCGTGATGAAACGGGTTGCATTTAATTTTAAAGTATCTTTCATTTGAAAATGGTGTCATCACGTCAAGGATTTACATCTCTAGTTATACAGAGTTTAATTTACATACATTTCGTCGCGCACAAACACAAATCGTTATTAGTTAAGACAAAACCATTATAGAAGACATTGAAAACATCTGTCGCCTAAAGTGTAAGTGTAAGTCCGTTAATCAATACCGATAAAGTCGCTATAATAGGCATAAAAAAAAAAACTATGAAATACGTTCCCAAAAGTAAAGTTGTATCTTCTACTTAGATTTGCAAAAATTCATGGAAGACCAATTTACTCGCGCACGAGCCAATAATCACTCCCATCAACGGTGAAAAGAGCGATACAATCTCAGAGAACCTTTTTTTTAACATTAATTAGTTTCCCATTGATGAACGTGTGAGATGAAAAAGAGGGAGAATGAAAACCTTACAATGGATCCACAGTAAAATTATACTAAAGCAGAAAGGTCCAGTTTATTTAAATTATAGCTTCTGTGGTCACAAGAAACCATCTTTAGGGTAGGGCAGAAGGTACTTAAAAGACTATTAACATTCGGTGCAATGTTGGGTCTTTTTTAACCTAGTAGACAGTAGTTCATTTTTGTTCAAACTGATTCTTAGGTTAAACCGGTCCCTGATATCTTCTAACTTTTACCACGCATTGACAAGTTTTACAATCATGTATCTTGTTTGGTTCAAAACGCCTATATTCACTTTCCAGAAAAGCTGAGCTGGTTTTGAAAATCTAAAGCGCTCGAACACTTTTGCATCTAATTGGCAATGTGTAAATTATAAAACGACGTTGTTCAAAATAACGCCATTCCTGAATGCTTTAGTCGACATTGCTACGTTCATCCATCGACTATTTTACGGGTCGGCAAAACAAGAAGACCACGGAAAACCAAAGGTGACGGTTAACGGTGATTTAATTCCAAATTCCAAAGACCAAAATCTATAGACCAAAGATTGGCCGTAAACTGAAATAACAATACAAAAATCTCTATCAATTTTGCCGAAAGGGCGATACTAAGACAAATAACGCGTAATCAACAAACTAAAGCTTGAAAACGGTAATAAAGCGATTCTATGGCGATTAGGTCGATAACAAGACGGTAAAATCTACGTAAAAGCTAGATAAAATTAATTAGACAATAATTCCATAAATCTGATCTTAATCCTTGTACTATAAAGCAAAAGTGTGGGCGTTGCTCTAACAGGCGATCAAATCCGCTTTTCGCTTATGAAACAATTATAAATCAATTAAGCTTAAATCTGTATATTTATACAGTAACATTAGTGTACTTTGCCCACTGGCTAAAGAACGAAACTAAACAGAATTAAATAACAAAAGAAATCACTTAAATGTCGGTCCCGCTTGTACCAAAGGTTAAGACAAAAGCACAAAAACGACGTCACGACGCGAATCCTACTTGACTTTTTTCCTGACCAAAAGGACGCTAACGCGCGCTTTTATACCCGCGTGGGGACGTCGAAATATCTCGTTACAAAACCAATAGAAGATCAGGTAAACATTGTAACTATGCTAGTAACTAGGATCAAAGCATGAAAATCACGAATCAATGAAAAGGTATTGTTCTAGCCTGCATAGCAAGCGTTTCCGCGCGAGCTCGTCGAGAAAGTTGGGACGAGAGCAACAAAAAAGAGGAACGCTTGCTACGCAGGCTAGTATTGTTCTTATGTCTTGTCCTTTACAGGTCTGATCTCAGGTTAGTTTGCTGATTGCTCAAGCTGTGCTCATTATTAATAAAATACATTACGTTAAGATAGACAGAAATACAAGCTATGGCACAGATTCATTTTTGTAGGATTTTCATTCAAATAAAAGTACACAAACTCTTAGTGATCCAAGCACATCTTTATTGCAACTAATCGCCGCGATAATAAATCTGTTTTCTAACATTTCAAACAGTCCGGGCCGCAACCAGATCTGGATATATGATGACGTCACCCACATTTGCAAAATGGCGCCCACGCCGAGAAACACGAGGAGAAGGTCACTTCCAGGCTCTTTGCTGCGCCTAGAAGTGTCTTTTCCCCATACTACTTTGAGATCTGTGACTTTAGACAATGAAAAATCAGGGGTGTGAAGAAAAATGCCGTCCGATGAACGTTTGTGTGTTCTTGGGAGGTAAAACGACCGAACACGAGAGTTTTTCAGCTCAAAGAAATGCCGAACAAGGCGCAAAACATCTAAAAAAAGAAGGTGAGTTTCAATTTTCTGATCCTTGAAAAAAAAATTTTTAAAAATCTACATAAAATTTGCTTCTTGATGGTGGTCTTTTTGGTGTAGTGCATAGCGAATTCAAATAGTGCTGTGCTTTGGAAGATGCAACATTGAGTTGCGCCGCTCACGTGCTGGTTTTCATTGTAACGCCATGTTTATTTTATGTTATCTTGCGGTCGGATGGAAAAGCAAAAGCACCTTGTCTTTGTGGCAAAAAGATGCCGCCGGTTTTTTCGTGGAGAACCGTAACCATGGTCTTGCCTGATCACAAAGTGGCAATAACAAAACAGTTCAAACACTGACTGTTAAGCTTATTCAAAAACTACGTATTATCAAGGAAGGGAATATGCGCTCCAGTCACAAGACACGCATTTATAGAAAAACACCAAGCTGGAATCTACTGAGTCACAATGCATTTCTCCATAGTTGATGCAGCTTCAGTTGAAGCTGCACTTAATTCTTATAATTTTGTATCTGTAAATCACTATCCGTGATAATTTAACATCCTGCAAGGAAAACTCATGAGCTGGGCCCAGCGTGATACAACATTGCAAAAAAACATCATCTTTATTTACATCCACGGACTAACTAAAATCGCTTAGCTATTCAGATCCAGAAGGCACTTTGGAGAAAATTAGAACCCTTATTCAGACGTAATAAAATGCTTTACTCTTCAAAAACTGAGGTCACAGAAAATGCTCTTGAATTAGAGGGAAAATCCTTTAGACCAGATACAAAAACCACAGTAAATCGATATGTGTGGCATGACTTCTCAATGTGAAACAAGCGGCTAAAGTCACAATTGTTCAGTTATGAAAATGTGCAACGTTCCAGATCATAATCTACCCAGTAGAGGAAAAAACTTAATTGGAACGAACAGCATTTTGGCATGAGCTAAAAGTCGTGTAGGCCTACCACCCCACTTTAATTCTATTAGAACACGATATATATAAAGTCCACCTCTGAATTGGTAAATGGCATTTTAATATTTTCATCCGCAATGGGGTTTTGCAACACGAAAAGTCAGTCATTAAAATGACTGTTTACGACTCTTCGTGAGTGAAATTTACAGAAATTTTATTAATTTTTTTACCTTCGCATATTAATCCAAGATGTTTGACGATTGAAATATTGAAAATTAACATCCAGCACTCCTTCGATCGCAATTAGATTTTAGCGCGTATGGTATTGCTCCCGAAGAAGCATAGAACACACCACTCTAGGCCGAAGCGGTGCTCGCAAAAAGTACTCCAAACACGACTTCTTTATACCTTTCCACTTAAAGTGTATCAGTTTTTCAAGTATTCAAATTCCCTACTCTTCCCTTTCGATCGGTGTCGTCGAGTTGCTTCGAGTCTCTTGATATCAGAAGTCCAGGCGTTTTTACAGAAACCTTCCGCGATCATTATCATCTTGATATTTGTAAATCGATCGCTAAGACGCATAAAATCATCTCTATTAATCGGTTTGGTTTTAGATGCTGTTACTTTTCTTCAAGGAACATCGCAGCCATAGCGCTCTTTGCTTCGACATTTCTGTCGATCTTAGTCCTTTCGCGGTCAAATCAATGTTTTGGTTGCGGTCTGGACCAATCACATTGCAGGAAATTACAAATCCAGATCTGGTTGTGGCCCGGACTGTCAAACAATCAACTAACAAAATTACCCTTATTGTATCATTTCCTTAGCGTAAGCACCCTTCTTAATGGATAGACAGCCAAGCTTAAAGTTTCTTTGTTTTTCTTAGTTTAGCAAATGAAATGTTTTAGTGCATTGCTACGCAAAATCTCATTTATGCTTGGACCTTGGCATTGTGCTCTATACCCACTTGTACAGGGCGCTGTTTACGTTGTGCTTCTGGCCATTGTAGTAGTTTGCCACTGCAAGGTAAGTGTGACCTTTGTACTCAAATGACGTCATACCAAAAGCACCGTGGGTTGGAATCTCTTGGTACTTGATGAACTGCACTCCAGAGGCCTGGTACACAACTGACTTGGTGTTATGCTTCTGACTGTCACCATAGTGATTAGCCACACCAAGGTAGGTTTGAGCGCTGATCACAAATGGAGTCCATGCGATGGCTCCTCGAGTAGGAATGGACTGGAACAGGACAAACTTCTTACCATTCCACTTGTAAATGAAAGAATCGGTGTTGTGCTTACTTCCAGAGTAGTGGTTGGCAAAAGCGAGAAACGTGTGACCGTTGATGTTAAAAGACTTGACATCGTATGCTCCGTAAGTCTGAAGAGACTGCAGCTTAACAAAGTGACCTCCTGACCATTTAAACACAGTGGACTGAACAGAATGCTTGTGTTGGGAGTTGTAATAGTTTGCAAAAGCGATGAATGTGTCACCGTTTATCACAAACGCCGTACATCCCAAGGTACCTTCAGTTGACATGTCCTGAAATCTGTTAAACTTGCCGCTGCTCCATTTGTAGATAACTGACTTTGTGGAGTTGGTACGTCCGTCATGGTAGTTGGCTACTGCGAGGTACTTCTCCCCGTACATCTTGAAGTACGTGAAGTGATTTGCTCCGTTTGTTGACAACTTCTGAAAGTCGACAAACAGCGTTCCATTCCATTGGTAGACTGTAGAGTCCAGCCGGTATGTTCCATCCCAATGATTAGCGACAGCAAGAAAATGTTTGTTAGAAATAGAAAAGTACTCCAGGTCATACACTCCTATTGTCTGCAGGGTCTGGTACAAAGACAATCTTCCAGTCGAGTTATCCATCTTGTAGATCGTGGAACCTGTCTTGTATTTTTTAATGTCCCCATGATAGTTCGCAAAAGCAAGAAACAAACTTCCGTCAATGGTGAAATGTTCCACATCTACTGCTCCTCGGGTTGGAAGTTCTTGAACTTTCTCAAGAAAGTGGAATCGAATAGAGTAATCTTCACAAGAAAAAAAAAATGAAAATCTTTGTTATCAAGCAATTATACTAAAAAAACAACTAGAATATATCGACAAATAAGGTAGAAAAGTACATGTAACTCTTTTTACTGTGAAGGAGTCACGTATTCATGAAATTAAAATTCGGTAGCTCTTCTTTCCAATGAATCAATGTACATGTACATCGTAGACAACAGTAATAAATATTGCTCATACCGGCTACACAGCGCGTCGATTTTCTCTAAAAGGCAAAATTAATAAAAACAACAAAGAACAATTTAAGAGCGGCTTTCCGTAAATATCGACCCACGCTCGGCACAAGCTCATAATTTGATTTCGTTCATTTTTGGCTCATCGACAACCCTTAATGAGAAATGAAACATGCTGTAGTTAGTTTTCCCAAATAACGTGTTCTTTTCTTACAATTCGAGAAAACTCATTTTGTCCGTTCGGAGTTCAACATCCACTTCCGGTAAAGCGAAATTTTACACAAATTTCATTGACGTCGTACGTCAAACTACAACGACTTGGCAGTCTTTGAAGAGCAGCGAATAGTTTTATGACCCTTTCTTCCTTATAAAACGATACATCTGTGAAAGCGGGAATATTTATGTGGCCAACAAGGTATTGTTAAAAATAGGCCCTATTGGCAATTTTTACCGTCGAAAATTATGGGGATAAAATAATGCAAATTTTAACCGCGCGCTATTACTTAGAATTTAGCAAATTAACTCCCTACGGCATTACTAGGCCCCAGTCTATAGGAAATCGAAACAAATCTCTAGGCAAACGATTTTAAGTAGCCCGCAAGACCTCGAGTTCAACCCTAATTTTGGGAAAAATCGCGACATTTGCATGGTTAAAAATAGCGTGACACGGGCCGTCACGGCAGTGTTACATATAGATACGCTTTAAACAATTTACTAAAGGCAGATTAAAAGCCAGTTCGAAATTAAATCTTTCAATAATTCTATTATTCTTATTGATTGCAGTATTTTCTTCAGATACAACATGTAGCGTCCCGGGGATAGCGTCACACACTTTCATGTTCAGTTTCAGACTAGCGATTTCCCTCAAAAATGGTATATAAACAGAAAAAATCTAAACGAAAACCGTTTACTGAATGAATTTTTGCATTGCGGGATATTTACTAATTAAATCATCGCCAAACAATGCCATTTGGTTTTTAAAAACTAGTTTCCTTGAAGCAATTAAATATTTTCGACTAAGTATTGGTGCAATAGTTCAACGAAGTTTTTACCCTTAATTTGCGGGCTCTCAAAACTGAAAAAGCTACGTGGATGCCAAAGAGGAGCCTACATACTTGTATGACAACGTGTATGAATCATCAAGCTACTGACTCTATATATGACCCATTAAAACAAACCAAGAAGACACTTTGGTGCTTTGCCAGGCTTACTATTAACTCAGTTTCGGGTTGCTTTCGACGTTTGAAACAAATGGAACGTATGAAAAGGCATTCCTATTTTCCTGGTTGGAAAATTCCAGACAGAAATTCGGATTTCATGTCTTCAAACCTTTTTTGAATATCTGAGTTTCAGGCTTTTGCGGCCGTTTTTCGTTAATTCTGTTCACCATTTGCCTAAACCGTGAAGCGACCAGTTTACCCGTGAAGGAAAAGCCTTGTGTCCAAAAGCCTGCGATACAGCTTCCTCTCATTGCTATCTGCCGCTAGGGACATTTCGTCAAAGAGCGGTGAGAGGCGGGTGTATCGCAGAATATGCGTTATATACATTTTGTATCATAGTAGATCGTAGCAATGACAGATCGTTGCAATATCTCTAATTACTTTTTAAGAGACACCAACAGCAAACTCGCTATTCCTCTACCCCAGACAAATGTTTAAAAAAATAGTTTTTCTGGAGCAGTTCTTTGGAAATGGCCTTCCTATTCACCAGCGGCAGGCGAAGTCTCTTAGGGTTTTGACTAGGGCTGCCTGCAAACAATTCTTCCGGAGATCTACACGGTACTTACGGAAAGTAGACTAAGGCTCTCAGTCTCATTCGGTTTTGTGACAAAGACAAAGGTAATATAATGATAATAATAATTTATTATTTATTATTTATGAGGCGCAAAATAGCATTTAAATCAGTGCGGAAAGGTAAGGTTTTGGAAGCCTTGATTCTTAAAAAGGCTATACAATTCCAAGCGTCTTGAACATGGTAATGAAATGACTAGTTTTTGTCTTAAATAGAGTCAGGGTTTGAACGCCTCAGCGGCATATCCATTTTAATAAGTGCCTTCCAAGGGGCTTATCCCTAGTATTATATTGCATGGGGAAAGACATTTTAGAGGGTACCATGAGTGTCTAAGTTTCATGGGGGGGGGGAAACTAGGGAGAGAAACGAAAATTACGTATAAAACTTCGACAGAAACTGGAAAAAAATAAAATTAAAAAAACAAAACAAAACAAAACAAAAAAACCCCGACAGTTTCGCAGTCTAATTAAAAGCCGTTGAAAAGTTAGTTCTACCAAATCCGTCCCTGCTGATTAATAACAAAGCGCCAAAAGTGCTCGACGCTCAAGTTGAATATATACCATTAAAAATTGGAAATGATGAATGCACGTAGTTAACCTGTAACAGGTCTTCAGATAGTTGGGAAAACGCAAAGAAAAGTGAGCCAGAAAAAATGGCGAAGGGGCGGGGTTAGGGAGAGAGGGCGAAAGAACATCTTTTCCTCCTCCCCCCCCCCCACATGAAAAACGAGTTCCCCTAAAACGAATGCGTGGGAGGTTACCTACTCTCTCCCTCTTACGCTCTTCTAAGCTCTTCCACGTTTGTTTTCCTCCGTTCTCCATTTCGCGCCACTGTCCACTACGCCTTGAACAGGCTAGTTCATAGCGCATGGGCCAGACAGTTTTTTCCAATGCCGATGCAAGGCATCTATAGATGTCCATTTAGGAGCAGCTGACATTTTAAAAGCTCATACTCACGCTGCAACTATTCCTGCTTTAGCATCAGTAAAAACCACTTTTTTTCTACTTTCTGTTGTGCTGACGGAGCTCTTTTTTGTTGATGGTGTTTCATCGTCGATCGAGACGAGTTAAAATATTTTCTGAAACGTTTCTTACAAAGTGCATTTATAAGTGTGATAGTAATACATTCAGAAAGGTACATGTATACTTACCGTATTGCTGGTTTTCATTGTCACGCCATTCAAAATAGACCAAAATAAAAATCAAAACCGTTCAATAGATAAAGTCCGAAATCTGGGAAATAAAAGGAGGTAAATATACAAAGACCCTCGCCAAGATTCAGGCCAGAAGAATATTCCGTATACGAGATATCCGAAGAAATGTTTTACCCAAATTTATAGAGATTTGTATGGAGACGCCATGCTGGTGCCCACCTGGATGGGCACCAACATGGCGGACGGAAACCAACAAAAACATCTGTTACCGAGTTTTGGTACAAAAGCGTGAATTTATTCCTCGAGGAACTCATAAACATTAAAGTAATACTTTTTCTAATACATGAACTGTTTAGATAGCAAAATTCCCCGAAATACGTCACTTTTTTAACCTACGTGACAGCTCTCTCGGCCGTCATGTAAATGCGCGTCACGCAGTACCTTAGAAATTCAAGCGTACTCTACCACAAAACCAAGAGCCCTTTTGAAGCGAAAATTTGTATGAAAATTATTTTTCAGCTGCCCTAATACATCATGAAAGTAAAATCTCAGTAGGATCGATAGTTTTGAAGTTTGAATTTTAGTGACGTCATGTGAAAACCAACAATATGCATAATTACTTGAAAGAGAAACCTACCTCGCAAGAAAAAAGAAAGTTAATTTCTAATTAGTTAATATTGGTTGTCTCCGTCTTAAATTTAACGTATTTATGCCTTTTGACGGATGCTTACATAAATAAAACACACCACTCTACTTGTTTAAAGTCTGTTTTTTTCTTTTGGGCACGTCGCTCAAAAAAGCCGACCTTTGGGCAATTCTGCACTATCTATTGTATCGAAACAAAATGACTCTTCTAAATAAGATAAGTTTATTGAAAGATGTAATATAGATTGTATGCTGGAATTTGGCATGTGATCAACGTTGAATAGAATGTTTAAAGTGTATCTGTTGTTAACACCGCTGGCGTGACAGACGGTGTAACGCATTTTTAATCACTGTAATAAGGCGATTTTTCGCAAAATTAGGGTTTAACTCGAGGTCTTGCGGGCCGCTTAAGATCGTTTGCCCAGAGATTTTTTTCGATTTTTTGATAGATTGGGGCCTAGTAATGAGAGTCGATTTGCGAAATTCTAAGTTATAGCGCGTTGTAAAAATTTGCATTATTTTATCCGTATAATTTTGAACTGTAGACAGAAAATGTAAACTAGTTGTTCTAAAGTTACCTGGAGAAATCTGTCTATAAACTAATTCATCACCAATTATGTGTTTGGTAACCTCTCATGGAAATTGTAATTCTAGGTTATAAAATGTCTGGCAAAGTTCAGCGTCAAACGTATTCGCCCACTATTTTTTTTTTATTACAATGGGCTGTTAAACCCCCAGTTTGTTCTTGTAACTGTGATTAGAAGCCAATGAAAATACCTAAAATTTTAATTACAAAAGCTTTATAATGTTTAGCCAACAGTCTCGGACAAAGTGGGAAGCGGGTTGTACAACTCAACAGCAGTTTGTTTAAATGTTCAAAAAAGATGGTTTCTCTTTCACTAAATATCACCGTCCCCCCAATTCAATATTAGGATATAAAAAAAGACAATGCAGAAATAAACACGTTTAAGTGTATACTGACGCTAAAACTAATTTTTTTGTCACCCTGTTTAGTTGTAAACTACCTTGGAAGCGGCTAGAGCACTCAGGGAGGAGAGAAACACACTCGACTACGTCTGGTGTTTACCCCTACACTTCTTTTGTGCTCTAACCGCTTACTACGTGCTTTACAACAGAACAGAACACACTAAAAGACTTCTTTAATTGTTAATTACTGGCAACATTGTTTCAACTAATAGTAATTCTTACTCGTTTCGCAGTTTTTTCCGGTGAATCCTTTCACGCAGATACACTTATATCCATTGTCCTGGTACGAGGGAATGCATTTACCAGCACTCTTACAGGGTGACTTGTCGCACGAAGACTACACAGAGGAAAGCATATAGCTCTTAGTAACGACCATTGAATGGCAAAGTCAAAATATCAATTAACGCGACGCAAAACAAACTGACGTGGCGGGGAGTTTTGTGTGCCTTGATAATACTAGTGGGGACCTTGTAATTTGGTTCCTGGTGGGTTCAACCGTGATGGGTAGCTTTTGGGTGAAAATAGGCAAGATAAATTGCCACGCCTGGCCCTCCAGGAGTTACGTCATGGGGTTAGTGGCCCATCCCCGTTAAAAAAAAATAGACGGAAATTGAGCAATCGACTTTCATTGACCAAGTTGAGCTCCAAGGTAACCCTCGGACCTGACGTTTTCAGTAGTTGTTCGTTCATCGCTCGCGCACATTTTGAGACAAGTTCAGTGATGGTCAGTTGCTATGGTTTAGAGATATTACGTCATAAGTAGCAGGTGGTCAAGTAGCGCCACCACTCATAAAATATACCTCATCTTGTTAAGAAGATCAAAGGCTTTCCACTAAAGGTAAAATCGTTTCGAAATACTGCAACATATCAAAAACTGCCCCCGCCCCCAACCGTTGTACCACGCTGGGGGTATGAATTTGCGTGTACGTCCGAGGGTTAAGTTTAGTAGCATTTACTAAACTTGCGCAGCGTAAAAGCAAAACAGAAGTCACACAAGAAAACGATGTTCTCTTTGCCTTTTTTTCTGGCCCCCTTCATTTTCTCTTTTGAGCTCTTTCGTAAAGGAAACTCAACGAAAAACAAACCAAAATTACCGCCTGTTACACAGGCTAGGATCGCCCTATGTAAGGGAATCTTTGCCTGCGTCACAGTCAAAACTAAACTTTGGCTAAGTCCGTCTGCTAAACAGTTCTAGCTAGGCCTCCACCTGTGTACCAGGATTTGAGTATCTACCATTGTAGATTTGCCAATCAGATTGAAAGGAAATTCCAAACACACTTCCGTTAATTCGTTGAGTCCGTTGGGGGCCCAGAATAAGGATTTCAGCGCTGCTTTGCAGACATTACTAACTGCGGTTAAATTACGTCTGCGACTCAGACTAGGGAATCCGAGACAGTCGTGGATTCTGGAATCCACGCCTTGGATTCCGGATTCCAGGTACTAGGTTCCAGTCTTTGTCACTGGAACTTCGATTCTGGATTCCAATCGTTAGTGAGATTCCAGATTTCTCAAGCGGTATTCCGGATTCCAAAGCCCGTAATTCACGTAATTCACGTAATTCGTTCTAATGCGCTTTGTTAACCCATTCCCCCCTGAACCGCCCGTAACCGCCCGTGCGAATCCAGGTCCTTTCTACCCTTTGTGACGTCATCAGTTTTAACGGTCAAGGACAACTTTCTTCGCTAACTTGTGCAGAGTGAAGAGATCTTTCAAACCATACCAGAATCAGCACAATTCAGTCAAGGACACCGGAGAAAGAAGCAAAAAACCAAGTGACATTGACCTGAAAATCTCCATGAAAATCTTGTTCCATTACCCACCTACCTTTCCTTTCACCTAATCCTAAGATCCTCAAAGCTTTCCTAAAAACTCTTCCCACCAAAATGAAGCCTACTAAATGCCCAGCAAGAGAAAAAAAAAATGAGGCAAGAAAAGCGAAAAGCTTTCTGCGCATGCCCTTCTGGATCAGAAGGCCGCCAAGTGTACGACCTGTAAACCGGTTTGTGGTAAGTTTTAGCTCTTTATAGCACGACAGTGACCAGAAAACCACTCGACTAGCTTCAAAACGCGTTTTTCGGCAAAATCTCCAGGAGCGAATGGGTTAACCTCTGATGTACACTTAAAAGCCGACGATTAGAAAAAAGAAGACGAACTATCATTTTCAGTAGATATTGAAGTAAAATAATGATTGCATACAAATTTTGTTTTTTTTTAGAGGCTTAAAAAGTGTTCAAAACGACTAGACACTTTCTTTACACTCACCGATTGTTAGCTCAAAAAAAAAAAGTAAGAGTGAGTCATTCATAAAGTAATATATCAAAGTTACATGTGCCGTAAGTTTCCACGTAAAACTGGAACTTACGAGAGTGTTGAGTGCGTTCCATGTAACCATAACGTAACCATAACAGATTCGTAAGTGACCTACTTAAGTGAGCACTTAAGTGCAGATTTTATGTAACCGGGCCCAGCTGGTCTTAGTTAATGTAGCTAACGCAAACAAGAGCACCTGATTTCATTGATTGTTTTTGTTTTGTTTTTTTTGAGAAGAGGTTAATAACTCTGAATTGAATCCAGTCTTCTAGCTGTTAATCTACAAGGTTTTGAAATGCAAGTTCGCTGAATTTTTATCAGACATCGGCTAACTACAAACATATTCGACGATCGTGTCGATGCAGCCGTAATGACATTTCGTTCATTAAGAACAACAAACAACAAGTTTTACATCACTTAGCAAGGATCTCATTTACATGTGCAGGTGGATTTATTCAACTTTCGTGTAGAGATTTTACGTGCTTTATAAACAACTGAAGGTTTTATATGTAGAAATGGAGGCAAGATTCAAGGTTTTCTTTTACTTCACAATCGAAAATATTACACAATCAAGCCTCCATGTGCTATCACCTCTCGTAAGCGACCACCTCCAATAAGCGACCATCAAAAACACTAAAATTTTCCCAGTCAGGTCAATGTCGTTTATGTCACTTCTCAGTAAAAGATCTCGTTAACTTTAGTAAAAACAGTAACGATACGAGACCTACATAGGGTCCGTAAATTTACGTGCTATTTTTCCCGTAAAACAAGTTTTATGCAACACTCCCAATTTCTGTTGCATAAACGACACTTAAGTGAACACTTACGCAAATCGTAAGTGCAACCACTTAAGTGAATTCCCTGAGTGGACCACTTAAGTGATTTCATGCAACTGACTTAAGTTACGAGTGCACGTACGTATACCCGTAGTTGTTACGGACGTTTTATGCAACCGGGCCCATGTAGAGTAGCATAAAGGGAAAGTCTTAATGTCGAGGGCATCGCCAACATTGGGGGGAGGGGGGGGGTGTCATTGAGTTTACATCACTATTTTTTATTTAAATAAAATGTCGTTTTTCCAGCCCAGGTCGAATAATTTTTTTTTCCCGATTTTAGGCGGAAAATCTTAAATTATAGCTTATGCTGTTATAGCATAATTGTGTCTAGTTAACAGAGTTTTTAACACACAAAAAGTATATCTTTTTCAAAATTTCAACCCCGGGTTTATTCTTAAAGCAAAATTTCGCAAATTTCAGACTCGATACTGATTGTTCAAAATATCTTGTTACCGAAAATAAAATACAATAATAATAATAATCTATTATTTAACCAAATGTGTTTAAGCGAACTATCGAACGCTTTTTAATGGAGAAAACTGTATTTCAGTGGAGAGATCAAGTTTGAACCAGTCTGCCTCATAAACTTAATCGGGTCATCCAAATTTCTGTTTAACGAACTGAAGAAGCATGGCTGGGCATTGGAAGCTGGCAGTTCGCAGGTGTAACATTTCACTAGCGTTAATTTTACAAATAGAAATTACTAAGGTGTCTTTTAGATACATATAGTTCCAGACAGCTCACTCTCTTGTTTTGTTTTGTTTTTTTTGTCTTTCGTATTGGAAGTAAAGAGAATTCTGAGTGCCTTCTCCCCTTCCAGAATTCGGTCATCCGAAGCCCATAACTAGCTATGCAGGGAAATTAGAATAATATCTACACAGTGTTCCCACGAAACGGGAAAGGCAGCGTGGTTGAGTGGTTTAACTGGACATGTAATGGGGAGGCCCCGAGTTCAAGTACCACCCTGTCTACTTGCTTGATTGTTCTCGTTAGTCCAGTGTTCAAATGCTTAGCCCATTTTTTTTTTAAGTAGCCAAATGGGTTCGCCACCTACCAGTTGGGATTCTTAACCATGTTACGTTTCCTTTGAATTAGCATTTGTTTCATTAACCCTGAAAAGCCCGATAAGGGGAGACGATTATTGAGCATTTATTCTTAAAACTCTCTCACTGTCAGAGGGAATGATGGAGTTTTGTAACCTGTGGACAAAATTCTGTGAAGTTACCATTTAAATGAAACCTCCCTGTCTGTACTTTCACATGGCACTATTCGTATTTTCAGCATTTTACAAAACGAAATTTGGAAATTCTTGTCGCATTTTGCCACATTTGGCAGCGAAAGGGTTATAGAACGAAACACTTTTCATCATTTAGAAGTTTGACTCACCGGAATAAAGAAGTGATGAAACTCTTTGCTGGCGTTGAACTTGTCTGAGTTGTTATGCTTGTCCGATGGCAGGAGTTCGCACAGACGTTTGTTGTTGACATCAGGGAAGGCAGCCACGTTGTAAGAAAAACACGATGGAATTTCTAGACAGGCGTACCCACAATCGTTTTCGTCTTGAATAAGATTCCGTCCAATACTTGTGATATTCAGGTAGGAAAATTGATCGATCATGAAGTTGACATAAAACAGGCCACCAATCGATCCTTGGCTGAAAGCTTTTCAAGAGAAACGAGGACACAAAGATGTAAGCTTGAGGAATGAGCTCGAAATATGTTCCAAAATAATGAACCTGGCTATTAAAAACATAGTGTGCAATACAAGGTAACGTTTTACCTCTAGAATGACTTGGAAAAGCAGCAAAGATCCCCAATGCGAAGACATAGCATCTGGGAAGTACTGGAAAGCCTACCATCCTTGTTAGAGTTGCGGCCCTTTACCTTGATTAGCCTTCTTAAAAGGTTTGACCTTGGTTGAAAAAGCCTTCAGTTGTTTAGGTCTAAATGTAGTTGTTAGCCTCCGGCTTACTGTCAAAACAGACTATTAAAAGGACTGCAATTCGGTATTTCAGTGATTCGTTGACAAATAAATTATGTCACCCGTCGATGATTCGCTACAATGGTACCACTTTTTAAAAGAAAGAGATTGCCCTAGGTCAATAACTCCAACCACGTAGCTATTGTCATTTAATACTAATATCAGTGTTTTTCGCAGATATTTTCCCATACTCTACCAACAAAAAACAGTTCTTTCTTTATCTGCTCCTGTCTTTTGATGACGTTAATTTCGTGAGCCAAGATATTTGTGACAATTTTTGAAGTATATTTTGTTGTTAGGTAATATCATTTTATTTTGTTACTTCTCACCCGACGCACGCCAACTAAACGTAAAAGAAAACGAATAAAAAAAGAGAAAGGATTGAGTGAAAGTTGACAAAATAAATAAATAAATAAATAAAATAAAGAAAGAAGAAGAACGGCTGAACCGTTTGATGGCCGTGAACAAATAAACGGCTTGCCCAGAGAAACAAAATGGATATCAAACAGCCAAACACCTGTTAAAAAACACTCGCTTACGCAAAAGAAAGATGATGATGATGGTAATAATGATAATAATAATAATAATAATAATAATAATAATAATTGTATTACTAATAAAATGATCATGATAACAATAATAATAATGATCGTCATTATCATCATCATCATCATCATCATCATCAAAGGATGCTGTATTCAAATTAAGCAAGGATGTATTCAAATTAAGGATCAGGGGAGGATTATAAAGCAGGAAAAATACACATATATGTTGTAGTAAATTTTTTATGTTAGTTAATTTTCATTTTTCCATTGTTTTGAAGGAAAAATAAAAATTAACTGCAACAAATATAATACTTCAAACAGCATAGAGCAGTATAAACATCTAAAACAAGATGAAACAGTAGCCACCGAACCACCCATCACTCACAGTCATCTATTTTCCCGTGAGATCGTAAGAATAAGGCACGTAACCTTAAGTGCGGCTAGCATTGGTTTCAAATATTTTATTAAGTACCTTTATAAGCGTGATAGTAATACATCGAAACGTACATGTATACTTATACATAACTACTTGAAAGAGAAAACTCGCAAGAAAAAAGAAAGTGTTCTAATTAGTTAATATTGGTTGTCTCCGTCTTAAATTTAACGTATTTATGCCTTTTGACGGATGCTTAAATGAATAAAACACACCACTCTACTTGTTTAAAGTCTGTTTTCGTTGGGCTCGGTCAACGTCTTGCCGACGTCGCTCATAAAAGCCGACCTTTGGGCAATTCTGCACTATGTATTGTATCCAAACAAAATGACTCTTCTAAATAAGATAAGTGTATTGAAAGATGTCATACAGATTGTATGCTGGAATCCCGAAGGGGTGTTCTCCCTTATATGGCCTATACGGGGATGTGCCGCTGGACAGCGTATGGTTTTCGTCCTCGCTGTCCTTAACAGGGTATATAATTTCGCACGAGTCTGTCCTAAACAGAGTATGAAATTTCGCACAAGTCTGTCCTAAACAGTGTGCATGATTTGTGCTAGTCTGTTCTAATTATAAACAGGGTGTTTCATGCACGATCGGGTAATAAAATTGAGGGTGTTGTCCTAAACAGAGTACTAAAATTGAGGATGTCTTCCTAAACAGGCTATGTATTTTGGGATTTTTTTTTCCTAAACAGGGTCAATTTTTCAAGCCCTCAGCGGCTCACCTATACCCAAATATTGGTCGAGTACCGCGCCCACCCCCCGGGGCTGGAATTTGGCATGTGATCAACGTTAAATAGAATGTTTCAAGTGTATCTGTCGTTAACACCGCTAGCGTGACGGGCCGTGTATATATAACGCTATTTTTAACCACTGGAATGTTGCCATTTTCTGCAAAATTAGGGTTGAACTCGAGGTTATGCGTGCTACTTAAAATCGTTTGCCCAGAGATTTGTTTCGATTTTCTGATAGATTGGGACGTAGTAATGCCGTAGAGAGTCAATTTGCGAAATTCTAAGTTATAGCGCATTGTAAAAATTTTATCCCTATAATGTTGAACTGTGGAAATGGTCAATAGAGCCTATTTTTAACAATACCTTGTTGGCCACAAAATTATTACAACTTTCAGAAATTTATCGTCCTCTAAGAAAGAAAGGGTCATAAAAACTATTCGTGTTCTTCAAAGGCTGCCAAATCGTTGTGGTTTGACGTACGAGTCAATGAAATTTGTGTAAAATTTCGCTTTACCGGAAGTGGATTTCGAGCTCCAAACGAGCAAAATGAGTTTTCTCGAATTTTAGCAAAAAAAGAACACGTTATTTGGGAAACCTAACTACAGCATGTTTCATTACTCATTATGAGTTATCGATGAGCCAAGAATGAGCGAAATTCGAATTTTGAACTTGTGCCACAAAAAGTCGATTTTGGTCGATATTTACAGACAGTCGCTCTGAATAACAAAGCTAACAATCTCCTAATGTAGTTATTTATGCAAACTATTCAACTTCTCCTTTGATCGGAAATCAAGAGATTAAAAAGGCTTCCGCTGTCAGAATGACAATGTACTAATCTAATGATAGCATCATGTTTGGTGTTAGTGAACATAGAAAGCGAGTATTATTTTGTTCTTCTTTCCTTGTCGGACATACGAGTTGACTTGAATTGCACCAGTAAAAAACTCGATTGTCCCTTGTCACGGCCTTGCCGCTCACTCAAGCACGCTTCTCCCTTTAAAAATAACACGCATGCAACACGTGTATGAAGTCTACAGTAATTGAATAAATATGGCTTTCGTAAAAGGATTATTATTAAAAAAAATGTTTTAAAACAATTACCTTTGTATCACACGTTCCCTGCATCCCTTTTTGTCCTTGTGATCCCTTCTCTCCTTGTGACCCTTTATCACCACGAGATCCTTTCTCACCCTTTGTGGAGAAATCAAAAGTAATTATTAATGATGAACATATATTAATATTCTAGTAGCTTGCTTAAGATCTCTGTAATTATAAGAACCGATCACAACTTTGTCCTTAATTGGAGCGGTGCAAAAACAAAAAAAATAATAACGATTTTAAAGAGACATATGAGGTACTTGTTTTTAACCAGAATGGAATCCGCGGGTTTGGAGAAATCAAATTTGACCTAAACCGAGCAACATTTACAACGAAACAGAAACAGGACCACTAAAGAAATGAGTCGTTTGTTGCTGTAAGGATAACGCATGGACCTTCCTTTTTGTTTTGGACTCTGAAAATTGGTCATTTCTGTCTTCAAAAAGAAGTGAAAAGTTATGCTTACTTTAACACCACCATTAGTGTTTTTATCCATTCCTGGTTCTCCTTTCTCCCCCTACAACAGAAATAATAATAACCACACCAGATGATGACAATACTACTGCTACTGCTACTACTACTACTACTACTACTACTACGACGACGACGACGACGACGACGACGACGACGACGACGACGACGACGACGACGACTACTACTACTACTACTACTAATAATAATAATAATAATAACTAGGAGTAATCGGAGCTTAGGAGAGTGCGTTCGATATGTTTGCTAGGCGTACAGGTAGCAGTTGAGGGGAAAGGGTGGATGGTTCTTGCGATAGATAACTATGATTATGGCATATTTTGAACGTAAGGATTCCGTACAGCGAAACCTCTATTCAAACTGTTTATGATAATGAAAAGGTTTTGAAGGCTAGTAATCAGCGTGATACCGTATGGTTGGTCTCAAGTGCTTGTTATTTGAGGAGACAATGGCCAGAGTGCTTCGGGCGTGTAAAAAGAACTTTTTGTTTTACTGGCGCAATAGATGTTCTACTGGGCGCAGTTGTTCGAGGGCCGATCAGCGCTTAACCCGGGTTTCTTTTTCTGTTGTTACAAAACATTTCTTTGGATGATTTTCTCAGTTATTTTTAAGAGAGTTCAATCATCAACTTGTTGGCAAAATGAAGCTTTCACATCTGAGTTCAAATTTCGCACTAACCCTCCTCGCCGGCTCAGGTACTGTTAAAAAGCAAACAGTGGACAAAGTTTTAGATCCAATCATTAATTTTATTTAATATTGGGAAGTCCACATGTTGACAATTACTGCAATTTACTATAAAATGCCGGAAACCGTTACTGGCAAGTCTTCTTAACTTGTGATGATATTAAAGAACGACTCAAGACCACATTTTTGTGGTGAATGCCGGGGCACAATGATTGTGTTTGAACACTTGTTCACTTACACTACACCTCTCAATTTCACACCTTTCAAGGGAATCATCAAAGCCTTCAGTGGAATGTGTGTGCGGCTCATGTAATAACTTTTCCAGTAATTTGGTCGAATGTATTGATTTCAGTGGCCTGAGTGGCGCTACTGTGGGCTGCTCACGTTTTTCCGAATAAATAACATAGAGCTAAAATGTTCGTTTGTCCAGTGCCAAAAATATCACAAGTCATGATGAAATGGTGCCGCCGAGCTTCACATCTCGGTAGATTTACCTTGTGGAATAACGGCCGCCGCCGAGCTACACAACTCGGTAGATTTACTCTGTGGCACTACGGCCACCTAGCTACACAACTCAGTAGATTTACTTTGTGGCACAAAAGACGCTGAGCTTCACAACTCGCCGGTAAATTTACTTTGTGGCACAACAGACGCCGAGCTAAACAACCTGGTTTGATGCATGCACCAGGAGTAGCACGCATTTTCCAAAGATAAATATGAAGGCTTGATCCAAAGTAAAATTTTACTCAGGGTGTACACTTTCCGCACACTTTTGAAAGATGAACGCCTTGGAAGATTCATTAAACACAGATCGGTAGTAGACCTTCAGCAAACTCTTAAATATGTACGGTTTACGAAGATTCAGCACACTTTTATAGCAGACCTCAGCAAACGTTTGAAAGATGAACGCCGAGGACACACGAATCACCACTTGAGTTAGTGCGTCAAAGTGAGGCAAAACGTAAGCAAGCGCCTCAAAGCGACGCAAATGTGTGTCGACGACGACGACGAATGCAATCTCGAAAAAACCTCCCTTATTAATTGCACAGGACACCCGATAATGCACAAAACACCCAACACAAATTAGGGGTTGCGTTCGAGGTACGAGAGCGCATTAATAACAATAAGTAAACAAAGCTATTAAACTGTAACAAAATAGTGACAATGATGATGATGAAGATAACAGATAAGAATTAAAGATAATAAAAAGTTCGAAAAAAAAAACAAACATTATGATGAGAAGATGGAATCATAATTTCATTTTATTTCGGGGCATTTCCCGTTTCTTATCAGCAGTGTGCAGGCGGTGGTTCCCTAGCCTATCAGGAGATTGAACGTGCTCAGTTCTATATAAAAGACTTGTTATATGTTTTCTGCGCGGCCCTTGCAACTATTACCATCAGCCTGTACCGCATCCCTTTGACGCTTAGTTGAAAATTTTTCCCACCACCTCCCAGTCTCCGACCTGCCACCGTCTACATCTTCTTATAGTTTTATCTTCTTTAGTTTGTCATAAATATTTGCTCAATTGTGGCGGATTTTTATTCAAACCTTTCCTGAAGAGTTGTTAATTAGTTAATTTTACCATTGGTTTCAATTAAAAACGTCACGCATGTGGCCATTTATCCCAAACAGTTGAGATTCTTGCTCGGGTCATCTCTTCAGCAAACCAGTGCGCCACCATGTGGAGCTCTCGATCGTTTTCGCAAATTCGGATTGGGAAGACTAGCAATGAAATGAAACTAATGATCAGATGAATTTAATTTAAAAAGACAGTAGGAAACAGGCCGGGATAAACTAATTTAAAGGCCAAGCCTGCAGATTTTAAGGTTACTAAAGACGGTTTGATAGGTCGTTATGATCATTACCATTTTACATACGGGGAACGGAGAGGGGGATACGCGTCGACCAACGGGAGGTGGGAGGGTATGTTGGGAGTTGCTGCGTCCGTGTTGGCAGTCGTGTGGAAACAGATGCAACAACTCCAAGCAATGTTGGCACCTGCAGTGCATCGTGGGAAGGGTATAACCTATAAGACTTCAGAGACAATGTGTAATGCGAGTGCGTGGCTTCAACAATGTTGGAAAAGCTGCGCAAACAGATCCAAAATTGTTGCGCTACGCTTCGACGATCACGAAACAAAAGAAATGTTGGGAGTTGTTGGCTCAAAAGTTTGACCGGTTTCAAACTTTGCGCAGACGCAACAACATGCAACAAGGCGTAGAAACGGACGCAACATGTATCATCTAACAATGTTGGGAGTTGTTGGCCAGGAAAGTTGTGTCCTTTTGCACGGGGCTTTACTTGGCAAAAAAGAAGGAAAAAGCGGGTAACTGGCTTAAATAGGCAAGAAGACTCCCCCGAGACTTCCAGCCGATTGTCTGTAATGCCCTGGGGTGAAAAGACGATACCAGCATAGCGCGCAGGCAAAAAACGAAAAAACAAGGGAAAATATTACCTTATGGTGCACTCACTTGGTAGGTAAAAGTAGTAACAGACTAGTTCTCACTTAAGCCCCGTGCAAACGGACGGACAACATTGTTCGCCAACAACTCCCAGCATTGAAAGAATGAAAGATAGTAAATTTTAAGCTCGGTGAAACAAATGTGAAAATGAATTAATCAGCATGTCACGAGCGTGGGACAAAGAAAAAATCTGAGTCCCCGACGGGATTTGAACCTATGACCTCCCAAACTCTATCCACTTGAGCTACGGAGAACTCATGGAGAGCGAGGCCATATACTAGGTTCATATTTGACAAGCGTTCTATATCCTGCAAGGATCAGCAAGGTCGCTGTCGTACTGTGTGGTGACGACGCGCGGATCCACGCCCTTGTACCGTTTGCGACGTCATCACCTTTAGCGCTCAAAGACACTTTTGTAGGAGCAAGAACTCTTTCAAACCATGCCAAGGCTTCAAGTACACCTCTTTTTGCAAATTTGAAAATTCTTGATGTTTTTAGTATCTGCTCTGTCCAAATAAGTTTTTTCATGTACCTATATCATAATGGTGCTTTACCTATTTCTTTAACTCAAATCTTTCATACTGGAAATCAGATTCATCAATATTCAACCAAATACTCTGACGTTTACCGACCTCAAACCTGTAGAACAAATATTAAAAAAAATTCGATCCTGTCTCAAGGTCCTAGAATATGGAAGTCATTACCGAACAACATTAAAAGCGCCTCGACTTTTAATACATCCAAGCGTGTGATCAAACCATTTTTAAGGGTCATTTTTATCCTATTTATTGTCTTTTTTATTTTACTTGTAATTTATTCTGAGTGGCAAAATAATAAAATAAAAATAAAATGAAATGCCAGAACGATTATTAGGCAAGGAGGCCGGATAAAAAGACAAAAAATATGTAACGTTGAGGCGAAAATGGTGATGAAAATCCTCCACTAACCACCTGCAATTCTTCCTTCTAATCCCGTAAGTCTTGAGTTCCCCAAAACGTTTCCCACACAAATGAGGCCCAGTAAATTCCCAGGAACAAAAAATGGGACAAGAATAAAGAAAAAGAAGGAGAGGAGGGATTCAAACGAAACTGGCAAAAATGTCACGAATTTTTTAACCCAAAATATCGAAAATTTACTTTCTGCAAACACCCGTGCTTCCGAAGCCGATATTTTGCATTTGGAATAGAAGGCGTAAAGTGTTCGACCTGTAAACGACGTTCCTGGCAGTTTTGGCTCTTTATAGGCAGATACTGAGCAGAGAACGGCTCGTCTAGCCTCAAAACGCCTGTATTCCAAAAAAGCTGAGCTGGTTTCGAAAATCTGAGCGCTCGAATACTTAGTCTTGTATCTAATTGGCAATGTGTAAAACGACGGTTATTAAAATAACGCCATTCCTGAATGCTTTAGTCGACATTGCTACGTTCATCGATGGGCCAATAAAAACTCGCGTTACTTGCATAAGGAATCACCGTTCAAAGCCTATGCATCTTTAACTTTCCTTTCAGTTTGCTGATTGCTTAACCTATGCTCATTATAATACATTACGTTGAGAGTAGACAGAAATACAAGCTATGCCACAGATTCATTTTTGTAGGATTTTCGTTTAAAAAAAAGTACACAACCTCTTAGTGATCCAAGCACATCTTTATTGCGACTAATCGCCGCGATAATAAAGCACATTTGTTTTCTAACATTTCACTACATCAACCAAAATACTGACGTTACTGTATCAGTCCCTTCCTATAAAAACCCCTTCTCAACGGATAGACAGTTTTACGATTATAAAGTTCCCGTTATTACTTAGATTAGCAGTTGAAATGTTTTAGTATATCTTAGTATTATCTTAGTATTTTAGTATTTTAGTAATATCGTCTATGCTTGGACCTGACCTCATGGCCTCCTGCTCTATATCCACTTGTACAGGGCGCTGTTTATGTTGTGCTTCTGGCGATTGTAGTAGTTTGCTACTGCAAGGTAAGTACGACCTTTGAACTCAAATGACGTCATACCATGAGCTCCATGTGTGGGAATCTCTTGGTACTTGATGAACCTTGCTCCAGAGGCCTGGTAAACAAGTGACTGAGTATTATGTTTCTGACCATCACCATGGTAATTAGCCACACCAAGATAGGTGAGACCGTGGATCACAAATGGACACCATGCGGAGGCTCCTCGAGTAGAAATGGATTGGAACAATACAAATCTATTGCCATTCCATTTGTAAATGAAGGAATCTATGTTGTACTTACTTCCAGAATATTGGTTGGCAAAAGCAAGGAACGTGTGACCGTTGACGTTGAAAGACTTCACATCCCTTGCTCCGTAAGTCTGAAGAGACTGCAGTTTAACAAAGTGACCTCCTGACCACTTGAACACAGTGGACTGAACAGAATACTTGTGTTGGGAGTTGTAATGATTTGCAAAAGCGATGAATGTGTCACCGCTTATCACAAACGCTGTACATCCCACGGCACCTTCAGTTGGTATGTCTTGAAATCTGTTAAACTTGCCGCTGCTCCATTTGTAGATAACTGACTTTATAGAATGGGTGCTTCCGTCATAGTGGTTGGCTACTGCGAGATAATTTTCCCCAAGTATCTTGAAATAGGTGAAGTAACCTGCTCCGTTTGTTGGTAATTTCTGAAAGTCGACAAACAGCTTTCCATTCCATTGATAGACTGTAGAGTCCAGCCGATATGTTCCATCGTAATGATTAGCGACAGCAAGAAAATGTTTGTTAGCGATAGAAAAGTACTCCAGGTAATACGCTCCTCTTGTTTGCAGGGTCTGGTACAAAGACAGTCTTCCAGTCGAGTTATCCATCGTGTAGATCATGGAATCTGTCTTGTATTTTTTAATGTCCCCATGATGATTGGCAAAAGCAAGAAACAAGCTTCCATCAATGGTGAAATGTTCCACATCTAATGCTCCTCGGGTTGGAAGATCTTGAACTTTCTCAAGAAAGTGGAATCCAATAGAGCAATCTTCCACAAGAAAAAAAAAATGTTGAAAATCTTTGTTATCAAGCAATTACTACAAAAAAACAACTAGAATAAATCGAAAAATAAGGTAGAAAGGTACATGTAACTCATGTGTTGTTTAGGCACTTTTAATGTACATGTGAAGGAGCCACGTATTCATGAAATTAAAATTAGGCAGCTCTTCTTTCCAATGAATCAATGTACATGTACATCGCAGACAACAGTAATATATAATGCTCATACCGGTCAAACAGCACTTCGATTTGCTCTAAAAGGCAAAATAAAAACAACAAAATACAATTTAATAACAAAGCTTACAATCTCCTAATGTAGTTATTTATGCAAACTATAGGGTTCAACACCCGTACAGTCAACGTTTTCTGACGACAATCTCCCTTGATGGAACATCAAGAGATTTAAAAAGGCTCCCGCTTTCAAGAAACATTGAGATATAAATCTAATGATAATCATAACATCATGTTTGGTGTCAGTGAACAAAGACTGCGAGTATTATTTTTGTTCCTATTTCCTTGAACTTGTGAGTCTTGTGGGACATTTGAGTTGACTTGTACCGTGCAGTAAAAATCTCGATTGTCACTTGTCATGGCCTTGCCGCTAACTCACGCACCCTTCTCCCTTTAAACATAACAGGAAAAAGAAGAGTTCGTGCATGCAACACGTGTATGAAGTCTATGGTAATAAAATTAATAAGGCTTTCGTAAAAAGAATTATATATATACTAAAGGTTACAGAGATTGAAAATCTGGAAAATGTTTTATGACAATTACCTTTGTATCACACGTTCCCTGCATTCCTTTTCGTCCTTGTGCTCCCTTCTCTCCTTGTGACCCTTTGTCACCACGAGATCCTTTCTCACCCTTTGTGGAGAAATCAAAGGTAATATTAATGATTCTTCATTCGTAGGTCAGGACCACTAAAGAAAATTGAATGACTCCTTTGTTGCTGTAAGGATAAAGCATGCGCTTTCGTTTTTGTTTTGGACTCTGAAAATTGGTCATTTCTGTCTTCAAAAAGAAATATAAAGTTACGCTTACTTTAACACCACCATTACTGTTTTTAGCTACTCCTGGTTCTCCTTTCTCCCCCTACAACAGAAATAATAATAACCACACAAGATGATGATGATAAGGGACGGAACATTAGAAAACTTATGGGAGGGTGGGGGGCGAAGTACAAAAAAAAAATATTCGCGCAAGGGAAAATTAAAAGAAAAAGAATTCATGCACGCCAATTAACTCTAAAAAATATTCATACAAGGAATTTGATAACGAAAAAAAATTCCTGCGGCTCAAATATTCCCCCCCCCCCCAATAACTTTTCTAATGGTCCATCCCTAATACTACTACTAATAATAATAATAATAATAATAAGTAAATAAAGCTATTAAACTGTAACAAAATAGTGACAATGATGATGATGAAGATAACAGATAAGAATTAAAGATAATGAAAAGTATGAAAAAAAAAATGAAACTAATCATCAGATGAAATTAATTTAAAAAGACAGCAGAAAACAGGCTGGGATAGACTAATTTAAAGGCCAAGTCTGCAGATTTTAAGGTTACTTAACAACTTAATTGCTTAACTTTGTAGTCCAAGATAAAAATACACAGTCTTTGGCAGTAAATGGGACTAAAGGTTGTTGGGTGCACCCTGTGGTAAAACAAGGTTGGTAGCAACACACCCCATAAAGTGCATGCAATAAGGGTGGCAGCGACATACCCTAAACTGAGTAGAGCAATAAGGGTGGCAGTGACACACCCTAGTAATAAACGTAATGGAATGAAGGTGGCAGCAACACACACTAGTAATATACATAATGGAATGAGGGTGGCAGCAACACACCCTAGCAATGAGCAATGCAGTGAGGGTGGCAGCAACTCACCCAGCACGGTAATGGATGGAACGCATCCCCACCCAGGAGTGAATAAACTAAGGTGGGGTGGGGGCCCCACCCGGCCTGCTACGTGGAGGTAAAAGTAGCAGGCGTGCACCCAAGCCAGTAGTCCAGCTTTATTGAATCGAGGAAGGGTGTGGCAGGGAAAAAGAAGAAACTAATGCGTAGTAAACTACTATTGGAAAATACGACGTGTGCACGCAAAGTGAACAAAACAAAGGAGCACTCAGCTAGCATTGATGGATATAAGCATAACATAGTATTAGTTACAGCTACTAACAATGAAAACTTGTTATCACAAAACCTTGTAGAAACAACTGACGGTCAGTTATTGATGTAATCTAAGATAAACAAGGAGCTCTTGATCCAGAGCTGAGTCACGCAATGCTCTTTTATGTACGATAGCAACATATTTGCCACCCAGGGCAAAATAAATCATAATGAAAAACAATGGCTGAAGTATGCTCTAATTGGTTAACTCTATTTTACGAGTAAAATGTCCATAAAGACGGTTTGATAGGTCGTTATGATCATTACCATTTATTGGGGTGTGTATAAAGACATTACATTCATTAAGATAAAAAGAAGCCTAAAATTTTGAATTTGTTTGGTTTACTCAAAATTCAGCTGTTTGATTTCCTTGTGAATTTGCGTACAGCTTACAGTTAGTAACCCTCATATTTTAAAGCACCTTAACCAAATTGCAACAAACAGTTTTTGAAATTGTTTTAGAATTCAAAATAGCTTTAATGTCACAAAATTCCTTTGTTCGTTGTTTATTTGAGGCTTTCATTGACTGCAGTACAGCATGACGAGGATTTCTGCTAAATGTCGTCAAATTTTAATGAGTAAATTTTAAGGTAAAACTATTGTCGTTTGTTTACGTTCCCTTTGAAAGTCAACAAATCAAAGTCGACAGAAACAGAATAAATTTCCCTAGACAATAACTGACAACTATAAGGGAATGGAATCTTATCCCTTTGATGATAAGAACAGAAAGGTATCCAAACTTTTGTAATCATCTACGCAACGTTTTTTAAATTAATATTTTTTTCTTATTTCTGTTATTTTATTTTTATTTTTTTTTATTTTTCTGCATTATTAATCTCTTAGATGTGAAAGCGTCTAGAAGTATTGAAGTAGACGTAGAAACCTTTAAGCATTCTTCTCAACTTGTCCTCGCACTTTTTTCTTTAAAAGCTAATTGGCTGCATATCTCCTGATGATTTTAAAAATGTTGACATGCATAGTAAATGCATAACGCATTTCTAGAGAAACTGTCCTCAGCAACCTTAAAGTTAAAATAGGGAACAATGTTATGGGAACTTCTTACTCTACGAAAAAGTCGTATGTTTTACTGTGAATTTTATGATCTTCACTCTTTTTTTCATTTTTGAGCAAGTTTTTACTTTTTATCCATTTATTACTTTAGTAATGAGCGACCCACTTAAAACTGCCATGGGAAGTTGGGCTCCCCCTATAAAAATTATTATTATTATTATTTTATCATGATTATTATTATTATTATTATTAGCATCATCATCATCATCATCATTATTATTTTTAATACAAATGCAAAGAGAATAGCCAGTTTGCTTGTCTTTACTGTGGTGGAGATCAAAATAAAGTTAACTGGTCTGCATGGTTATGATTTTGATGATTTTGCATCGTTCAACTTAAATTTATATTCAGTGACTTTTTATGGAAGTATATGGATCCAGAAACTCAAAACCACTATTTAAAAAGCAGTAACATGTCAATAATACCTTAACGCCGGCATTTCCATCTTTTCCTGGTATCCCTGTTTCTCCTTTTTCTCCCTAACAGATATTTACAAATAAAAGTGAAACCAAAACTGCGAAAACTATCCCTGCAAAAATAACTACTAATTTTATTTATTTATATTAGCTTCATGGACATACAAGTATTACCACTAAAATGAGTTTATTTATTTATCATGACAAAAAAATCAAGAATCAACACATAGTGCACCTTTTTCCACTTTTTTTTTGTTAAATTAAAGTAATCAAAACAGCTTCAGGCCAACCATTTAAATTTAACATTTTGGTCTGAGTTTATCTATATAATTATACAGTTGCTCAGTCGTTGCGTTAACATTTGGTCTGAGTTTATCTATATACACACCTGCTTAGTTGTTGCATTAACACTAGAGGTATAACCATAGAATAGGGTATCTCAAAGGAAGGGTTACATACACTACATGAATCTTAACCAATTGCCTTTGAACGACCCATAACTTCCCATATTAGGAGCCAGCATATTGCCAACATTAACTGTGAACAAGATAGGTATCATTTCATAAAAAATGAAAGTGTGGAATTACATTTTATTATTTAACAATTACTTGCCAAAGGCAACATGAATATCGGCGAATATTCACGTTGCCTCAGGTGATTAGTTTTAGTATAATTATATTGATGATTATTCCAGAAAATAAAATTATTGATCAATTTCTGACTCCGAAACATCAACAAATCAGGCTGTCATTTTGACTGAAAACTGCTGGCCTTCAATGTTATAATCACCGCGCGGTGATTATAGCGGGATGAAGCGAAGCTCCTAGCCAGTCATAGTGCTCTATTTTCGATAATCGTCAATGTAATTATACGAAAAAAAAAATTAACTGAGGTACAGTGTACGCAAACAATTTATTCACATTTGTGGGTTCCGTTTTAAAAACATGAGCAGGTGCTTTTCCTCTTAATTGTGCCAACAGCAAGTTTTACAACTGAATCAGTGACTAAATTATTAATTTTTTAAAAATAATTTTATATCTTAATTCTTCCTCTTTCTCTGGAAAGAGAAAAGCCCAAAATTATGTCCAAAAAACCCCTTTTTTGGCAACTTGATACATTCACACAACAGAGACCATTTTAATGTTGTTTATTGTTTATTGTTTATTGTTTTGTTTGCCAAAAATTGTACAAATCAAATAAAATCTAATTACTTAAACTCTCGTGGCGAGGAAGCCCAAGAGAAGCCACCGGGCATACAGCTCCATGTCATTTAATTTGAATTTCTGAACTTTTCAAGCAAAAACAGAAAGCAATGTTTGAAGCTTAAAAAGGCCAACCTTTATTCCACTGCCATCTCGTCCATCACGGCCATCTTTTCCTGTTTTCAAGACAATAAACAAATTAAAGTGATACAGTGGAACCATGATATAATGAACCTCTATAATACGAAGTCCTTGGTATAACAAAATATTTCCTTTACCCCAGTAATAGTAAAATATATGAAAAAAAAACCCCAATTAAACGAAACCTCTTTATAGCCTGTTATATTATTGCCAGTCCCTTGACCATTCATTATATTGAGGTTCCACTGCTGATGCTCTACTGAGCAGTGCCCAGTCAGTGACCCTAAACACTTAATTTGATCTTCAGCAACTAGGAAATCTTAGCTTTCCCATACAAATCTGAGGCTTGACTCCCTGTTTTTCACAGGTTCAGAGCACTGCATGGACTCCTTACAATTTTTCTTGGAGCACAGCTTTGGATTAGTAATATTACAAGCTACTAAGGGTAGAGCACTGACAACAAGCTACAACAGGGGGGATGACACGAAGGAAACCCACGGTTAAGATTTATTTTGAGAATAATTACAATATGCCTGTCAACTCTAACACATTATGCATGAGTTTCATGCCTGTGGACTTATTTCCAGAACTTTATTTTACTCATCGACAACGACAATTTCTCACACCTGAGAAACAAATCTGGACAAATTGTTCTTTATTAAACATATAATTAATGACAAAAATTCAATTCAATTTCCCTTTGACACTTGAAATAACTTCAGAATGGCTCAAAGGTTGTCAGAACAACTTCACACATTTTTTGGCAAAGTTTGGAAAAGTCTTCGCAAAATTGTTGGAAATATGCAGAAGCAGCTGGGACATTTTCAGAAACTCCTGTCAAAACAGGAAGAAAATCTCATGCATCAATTAATTTGACTCAGAAAGAGTTGGCAAGTATATACACCTATTTCAATTAAGGTTGCTTCTGAGAAGAATGATGCATGATCCATGTTTCATAGCCTGCGGTGCACTATTGTAGCAAGTCTAGTAAATTATGTGCCTGCAACAACGAGCCTAGAAACCCAGAAAGCAAACGCTGCTAATGCTTCTATGCTATGTCAGCAGAACGTTAAGACAATGTATTTCAAAACACTGAATCCTAGGCTTTTTAATTTAAGACAGTGATTTGAGGTTAGGTTTTTCTCTGTGGTAATAAGCAAATGCTACAAATTTTTAACAAGTTTACTTGGTTCTTGCACGTGGAAATTTTGGATGGAGTTTAAAAAAAGATCAAATTCATGGCATTTGTTGAACAACAATAAATAACTTGACATTATGTGTTTATCTATTTTTGAGGCAATTTTTTTAAAACTGAATAAAAAAAGAATAGCATTGATTTACGGTATTGAAATAACCAGCATTCTGGCCCATTAAAAAACGCAGCTTAATCAGGCGGTAAAACCCTATTCATTTAATGTTGTCAAAAAAAGAGGGTTCTAATTTTTTACTATGAGATTTTAAAAATGAAATTTTTCAGCTCACTAATGCTTAAGAATTCTAGCAGCCATTTGACTTGAAAGCTCTCTTGAACGCCTTTCACAAATGGTCTCCATTATTTCAATGAACGTGAACAAGACTAAACTTCCCGCTACATGAGTTTATCATAGTACAATGAAGGCTATGAAACACGGTTCACGGCAGCAACTTTAATTGAAATAGGTGTATATTGACATGTTTGTATTTGTATAAAGGATAATCACGAGCGACAAGCGGAGCCTGCAATTCTAATCTCCAGGTTGTTATTATGCATGCTTGGCATGTATGTAGCCATTCGTTTAGACTTCCACAAAGAATGTACGGAATGCGCCAAAAACACTTTGAGCACATGCATTTGGACCTTACATCACTCGTAATCATGTATATTTTGACCACCACACAAAGCACAGCACTGGAAAGAGACGAAAGCGTTTTGACATTCAATTGTTGTCGCCCACACTCCGCAACCTTTATTACTAGAAAGATTTAATAAAATAATGTACATCACCATTCACTCCATCACGCCCATCTTTTCCTGCAATTACCAAAAATAACACTTGATTATACAAAAGACTAATTATTTCTAAATCATATAATGTTTCATAATTTAATGTAAATGGTAATGAAGGAAAATTGTTGCATTTTAATGTGACTCACCATGTTGACCATCCTTTCCATCTTTGCCTTAAATTATTTTAAAAAAAATACAGCGATTACTTAAAGAAACTCATTACCGAACTAAATTACCATCCACACAATCTCGCTACAGCAGAACTAGCAAGTTGTTACGGGTATAACCTGAACTGATCCCACTAATGCAATACTTAAATGTACTTTACTGGCCTTAAATGCCTTGATTTCTGGTAAATTCTAATCTAAACATACTAAGAAGATTTGTTTTTTGCTTTTGGTATTAGCTGGTATTTTTCCATATCCGTGGATTATCATTTTGTTGAAAATCAATTTTTAAAATAAACTGTAAACTCACCATCCTTACAGCAACCAGCCTGAGGTACAACTTTACAGCTTTTAGACTTTGCTGAAGATCCATTAGCCTGTTAGATTGGGAAATTTAACATACTTTCATGACTTAAAGAAAGACTGCAAACTCTAGATAAATGAAAACACTCTTGACTATAGCATAAACTGAGTTGCACTGGAAACTGAATTTGGAAAGATCAAGAAAAAGGAAATGAAAGTGGTTAAAAAAAAAACAGGAAATTAAAAGGGTGAGGCTGAATATCCTTTGATCATCCCTGTCACTTGAAATCCGGAGTATTGCCCCCTGGGATTATGATCAAGGTTAGGGTCTGAGTTACACGACATTTATAATTTTACACCTACACAGCTGCAGACCATGAGTTAACGCTCTGCAGCTTACGGAAAATGTAGGATTTTCTCTGCCACTACACCTTTTACTGTTGTTTGTTGTGAGGGGAAATCTAGCCAAAACAGTTTTGAGCTGAGACATTTAATTTAAGGTATGTCACTGAAACAAAGTATTCTTTTGTTTTTGTGGTCACAACATTGCAGATTTTTGGGTAAACAGTCCTTTATCTCTTACTGGTCTCAAAAGGCTTTTCTTCTTTAAGGGAGGGGTTGGGTGCTCCTGTGTTTTTTAAGGTCAAATGGAATATAAATAAATAAATATATATCCCTTTGAGGCCAAACCAGAATTTTAAACTCACTTAACATACTTAGCCACGAGCACTAATCTTACAAGCAAATGACAACAGGTGTTTAAGCTTTAATACCAGTTTTTTAACTCTTTAATATATTTTTTTTTGTTTTACAAGCTTTTCTGGACACAGGCCTGCCCAGAGGGAATAGGCACGAACGGGACTCGCAGGTCCCATGCAAGGTGCCATCCCTACCCAATCCCACAACCCTTTAAGGTTGGCCACACCACCAGGGTCTATGTCCAATACTCTTTTCGAACAATAGTGTGGGTTCTTTTACGTCCCACAAGAACAGATCAGTGAAAGTGCTGTGAGACAGGACCTACGGCGGTTGTTCGTCCTTATGCGAGAAGACTAGAAAGTCTAACCACTCGCAGATGTCATTACAAAGGCAGCACTTTCTTCTCAGTTATTTAAAGACCCTAAGTGTTGGTCCGACCAGGGTTTGAACCAGCGACCTTCCGCTCAGCAGACCGGCGCTCTCCCAACTGAGCTAACCAGGCGGCAGTTAACCATTTTAGCAACAAAAAAATAGCATTTTTTTTACCAGATCCTCCTTTTTGGAGTAGTTTTTGGCTAGTTAACATGGGAATGGCTAAAAAAGAGATTTTTAACACTCAAAGCAAATTTTTCTGCCAGTAATTGGATGAAATTAATAAGATTTTTGTCTTTCGAGCATTTCGAGACAAAGTTTGTCTTTTTTTGGTGGGGGAATCTGTTTTCAATGTTCTTTCCTCGCATTCTTTTTTTTTCCTTTTGTCATCCTTTTTTACAGCCCGTTTTGTTGCCCACTTTATTGTCTTTCCTTTGTGCGGCGTTTTGGCTGGCTACCTTTTCAGGAAAAGGGCAAAGAGTAGCAGGTAAATAGCAAAATTCCCCACATGTTAATTGCTTGTTAGCTTCAGCGTACATGTAACTCTGTCAGTATTGGTCAAAATTTGCTGCTGATTTTGCATTTTTTTTTTTTTTATCGTAAGAGCTTAAATGAAAAGCTGAATGGGTCCATGACGGAAAATGTTCATGGTTCAAAAAAGACCAAAAACCCAAAACAGTCGTCAAAGAGTAAAAACTCACCTGAGCTCACCTTAGACCTCACGTTTATTGTAAAGATTAACAGCCAATTCTAACAATCAATCTTCTTGAAAGCTTCTCTGATTGACGCTCTGCTTCCCGAGGATTATTTTAGGAGTCGAACAAGGTAGATTTGGGTCAACTTGTAAAACATAACTTTTAAAATACTATTCCCTAGAATTTTACCTGGTTGGCTAATAATATTCAGCAGGCTGCCCTTTCTCATTGAGAGGAGACTGGTAACGAGAGAGCGAGGCTGTCGCACACGCGGGTGTTACTTTGCGCGTTGTTCACGCGAATTTCTCGAGCCCCTGGTTGTTCAGACTTCCCGATCCAACCTAGCTATTTTCCCCTTACCAATAGAACACTTTAATCTTACCCCCCTTTTTTCAAACCCCTGGGTTCTCGCGCATGGAGTGCAACTATTTTGTTTTCTTTCAAGTTTAATAATCTCATGAAAACTGACGATAGCCTAGTCCATGAGCTGTATCTAAAGCCCTGAATGCTGTATCCTGTAAAATCGATGATAAATTAAATTTGTATCTCTGGTAGCCGAATTTCTAGTTTGCAACCAAGATATTGAACGGATTATGAATCTAAAAGAACCTAAAAGCGCATAAAAACAGTGTAGCTGATTCTAGAAAGCTAAGAAAACCGCATCTGAAGTCCCTTGCCCGTCGCTTGCCAGCCTTGCCAACAAAGATTTTCGGGAATAATCTGGGAAAAGTTGAATGCTTTAAAATTTGGTTCGCTGTAAAGTTACCTGATTTGAAGAATTCTTCTTCGAAGTTCCGTAGGAAACGGCCAAGAAAATGGCCAAAGTCATCAAGAAGAACAGACGAAACATTTTCAGTATCTTTCTTAGTGGAACTGAACGTATTCATAAATGGACCAGGTATGAATGTAAGCTTAGAGTTCCGGAGTTGAGATCTCTCTCATGAATACAAAACGCGAAAATATACGAGATGGAAGGCCTATTGTTTTTATGTTTTCGTTCATGACAGATAAGACAAAGCTGATCTTGGCATTGATGCATGACTGATAGTCTAAAGTCTAAAAACGAGGTCTTAACTGTTTAGGACCAAAAGACAACCGTCTATCTTAGAGTGGGCTTCCTGTTGTTTCCCCAAATACCCTACTAGCTATATACCCTCTTTTCTTCTGACTACATAGTAAATTCGTCTCCTCTGATCTCCGACCCGATCCAGCCCTAAATCAACATTTGGATCCGCCAGGAGCCGATTACGATTAAGTAATCGGCTCCCGGATCCGCCGATTCAAAAACACGAGCAAAGTTCGGAAGGAAGGGATAGGACAGGGAAATTTTTTTTTACGCCTCACTTGAAAAATGGTGTTGTCCCATGCCTAGAGATATTTAGTATTTCCCTGCCGGTAATACGTAGCCTACGTTGCAGGCGCAGGAAAGAACGGGACGCGCGAGAGAGACAAGCTGCGCGCAATCGAGACTCAGCATAGAAACGAGGTTGAAGTACATGTTAACGCCTGTTGGTAATTGATTCTCATAGCAGTGTGCCCATGTTGTTTCTTCGAGATGCAGGCCATGCAGGTAGGAAGATGTTTAAAGCGCCAACGAAAACTTGTGAAAAAATTGATTTACCAAGTAGCATAGTTTGACATGTTTTCATTTCTGTCCAATTAACAACAGCGTTGATGAAAGTGTGCGAAAACTCGACTCATGTTAGTCTGTCACACATTCTCGTCTTAAGTAGGCCGGGCAAGCATGCACATTTACTGAGTTCTATTTTATACTCCTTGAGTTGAATAATAAATCTCTTATTGGACTGTCTAGTGTGTAGTATTATGGGATATTTTTACTCTCACACTAAACCGTCTAAGAAGATATAGTTATTTCGAAGGATAACACATATCCTAGGGCCTGGCGCACGCTACTGGTTTACACGTCTTAGAATCTCACATCGTTTGGCTCTTATGACCTTATTAAAACTCAGATCGCATCGATATTTGGCAAGAAGTTAAAGTTTATAAACAGCTTTCCATTGAATATATTTTTTTCTGGCTGTAAGACCAAAATAAAATTAAAATATGAAAAATATGGCTCAAAATGGGACCATTTTTTAACAGCTCGCGTAACATTTACAGTCTAACCACGCATATTGTGGGATTTCTCTGTTTCTGTTTATGGTACTTTGGAAAAATTTCTCCACAGAGATCAGTGACATATGAGTACTAACTGTTTTAAAAATTACTGAACATAATGGCAAAACAACAAAGTTTAAGGCATTTTCAGAAAGATGTTCTGTCTACATCTGATCTCTGTGCAGCGCGAACATCAATTTAAAAGATTGCTTTTGATTGACTTTCTTTTGTTGTTAAGAGGAGAATTAACAATTTTTGGAATGCTCATAAGTTAAACCTTCCTTCTAGACTAACTGTTAAGACTTCGGGAAACCCATTTTTACGCTATGATCAAATATCTAAGGTTAGAAAGCATTTTTTAACGTGAAAATTTGTAAACTGTGCGTTGGACTGAAAATCGGATTCTAGAGTGTGCTTTAGCACAAAGATTTTGTGCCTAAAATGTGCCTAAGATGTGCATAAAGTGTGCATTTTAGTTTTGAAAAACGTGCCTAAGCTGTGCCTAAGTTGTGCCCAAACTGTGCCTAATCTGTGCACAAGTTGTGCCAAAATATTGAGTCACTCGGAAAATTGTGTCCATGAAGCCTATCGAGCTCCACAGCAAAAGAAAAGTGCGCACGGCAATTATGTCAGTTTTTAAGGTTTACGAAGTCTAGAAACACGGTTTGACGACCTTTTTATCCCCTAATAAGAATTAAATAACATGATTCAGAATACGGTTAGAGACAGCAGCGAAAGCCCTGACAAACAGGAAACTGGAATCTTAAACAGGGTAGCGTATTTAAAATAAGTGCTCAGCTCAATTACATGTTGATATAATTTCATCGATTCAAGAATTTCACTGATTTTAAAAAATTTCCAGTTAAGTTTCTTCTCCCCTTCTTAACGGAGTGTTTAGTTGGAACGAAATATTTATTTTCGCAGGAGGGCAGATTTGCATTCAAAAAAAGAATTTGATATGACTTATAAAATGAAAATGAAAAAATTGATTGCACGCCAATGTTTTGAAGCAAATTGGCACGTCTCATCGATTATTATATACGATCAAAGCTTAATTTGCTAACAGAGCCAGAAAACAAAAACAAACAAGCAGCTTGAATTATTTTACTACTAAGTGTAAATTCTACCTTTGTAGTTAGAGAAATTTTTTTAAAAAGTAGCGGCATTTTGTTTTAAAAAAAACACGTGTTGCAATGAAGGTTTCAAATTACCACTATCATGTTGTTATGCAAATTCAGGCCAATTTTACCGCGATCGCAAAAAGTATTTTCTACGACTTTTATTGGCTATTTTTGTGCCTTACTTCTTTAGCTTTGCTTTTGTTATTATGGCTTCGACTTTCTTTCACGATTTCTTTTAGAAACGAAAGAAAGTTCAGTCTTTATAAAATGCATCGTAATCGAAAAGGTTCAGACCGCATACATCGCGTGTGAATTTCCACTTTACCCTCAGAATAAACACGGACTGTCGAAGAATACTTTAATTTTCCCGACTTTCGCCGTGGCTCAAAACTTACACTGTCTATACTTCTAACTGTATCGTGTTTGATCTGAATTATTTTTGTAATTCGTACCAAATTTGTTCTTTTTTGCAAGTCGGGTTACAAAGATTTTCAAAAAAGTGCCCAGCGTTGAATATTTGTGCCTAAACTGTGCCTAAACCATGCCAAAACTGTGCCCAAACTGTGCCTAAAATGTGCCTTAGCAATATTTAAAACGTGCCTTAACTGTGCCTAAAGTGTGCCTAATCTGTACCTTTTCATGTTTTTTTCCCGTACTTTGGCACAAAAACCGTGCCTTTTCTTGAGCGCAAATCGTGCATAAGGCACGGTGTTACGCTCGTGTACACCAGTAGCGTGCGCCAAGTCCTAGGTACAATGAAGTCAACTATCATTATAGAACCTTGCACTTAAAAATTAACCCATTTACAACAGTTGTCTCAAAGCACTTTGTGTTTATTTTTGGGAAAAGGCACTCTGCCTTATATTATTTTTATCTTGTTTCTTTTCTCTCTGGTATTATCTGACTTTGAGGGGGGGCATTTATACTAATAATTTCTGAAAATAAAAAAGAGGGATCCTACTGGCTTTCCAGTAGACTAAAAATGTCTACTCAATATGAAATGAAATGTCGCTTATAACATCTCTTCAGAATACGCTGAACTAAACTAAGCTCTGAGTCAGACATTGACTTTCTTGTGATACATAAAATTCTTTATTGTGAAGAAAGTTGAGGTGCTCATACAAAGGTGAGAAAGAATTCCAGAGTTCTTCCTCACAGTCTGGTTGGTTCCGCAAAGTGTTGGTAAAATTCATTCATTGTCTTACTCATATTTTGCAATCTTTGGATGAAGCTCTGATTGTGCAGGTTAAATAGAGTTATTCTCCAAATCATGTGAAAGATCAGGTGATGGATACTCCACAGCCTCAACTAATAAATATGAACACCTGATAAACATGACCATATTTGGGAATGTGATACAATAAATAAATTAGCATAATTACCTGATTCCAAATTGACTGCTGGCTGTGTACTGATATGTACCTTGAGCCAGATATATCAAGAGAAGAAAATGCAAAAAAAAAACACTATTTTTCTACTAATAAGACCTTGAAAGGGCAAAATGTCTCCTAAGGTGTGAGTGCTGGCTCAAACCCTGAAGTTCATATTATAAGTGAAACAGTTACAGCACCTATCAAAACCATACAGAGCCCACCTTTTAATACAATAAATTAATTGTTTATTTATTGTAAGGTGCTGTATGGTGCTGATAGGTGCTGTTGGCTCATTTTTTGTATGAAAATCATTTCCTTTTCTGCAGAAACGTGTCAAGTTACCATTGGTAAACCTCAATCAACACATAACCTGCAAATTGTGCAATGGATATCTTATTGATGCAGCAACCATAACAGAATGTCTGCACACCTGTAAGTCCATGAATTTACATGATTTTCCTATTGACGTAGTATGAGGGATAGACTAGGGAATATTGGTTAGAGATAGTAGCAGCAGATTCTGTGAACATAAACTAGGACTTCACAGTTTCACAAAAGTGGCAAAGCACTCACTCACTCACTCCCTCACTCAACCTCCTCATCCCAGCCTGTCCTGAGCTTTGGCCTGCGCTTCGTGCCATGTTACACCCATCTCCTCCAGCTCTTTCCTGATCATCACTGTTCTCCACCAGGTGGATTTAATTGGCTGGCACCTCTTTTCCTCCTCTCATTTGGAGTCCATCTCATGGCTGCACTTTGAATTATTAGTGGGCGCTTAAGTCAAGGGCAGCACCATGCTTGTATTTAGGGGTGATGTAATATAAATCTTCTTCTTCTTGTGAGTAACACTGATTTCTTTCTTCCTTTTTCTTTGCTCAGTTCAAAAATGATAAGAACAGCTTAAAAGGTCAACAAAAGATGCATGTAGTACACAGAAATGTATTTTGAGGTCTGTTTCCCTATAAATCAACCATCTGTAAGAGCTTAAATTCCAGCGGGTCCAAACAGCTTTCACTTCTTGCTCATCTCCATTTTGTTAGAAGATGACTTGTATGGACCAGCAAGAAATCCTACTTGTCCCAAACTACTGGATAGGACTTTTTTCAAGCCCCAAATCATGTCATTATTATCATAATATTACGTCCAAAGCAATAACTAAAACATTCATCAGAGCAGTGTTGGGCATTTAACTCTTGAATCAAGGGGGTTGGGGCACTTTGTAGTGAATACATTGTATTAAGGTACCATCCTACCTTCAGAACCGTCTTCATGCAGATTGCTCTAAAGTGCGTCTAGCCCTACACGCTGTACTATTTCTGAAAGCTTAATAGTTGTAGATCATATGGCTAATTTCTTTTGAAAAACAAAAATGCTAATGCATTTCAGAAATAACGAGCTTTCTGCAAAAGCACATGTCTCTGTAAATTTAAGTCCCCAAAGTCTCTGTAGAATAACATTTTTTCAAAAAATTATGAATATTGTTATTGTGGATACCTTAATTATTCTGTGCCAATATTCCTCAGTAAAGTCCAATCCAGTATTGAGATCAATAACATGTTTTGATCTATTCTTAAATATTTTATCTTACATTTTATTTTGTTAGTTTGTAAGAGCTGCCTTGTGAGACATATTGAACTTGTTAATCGATGTCCAACATGCAACACTGTTTAATATTCATGAGACACAACCACTTTATAATATCAGGTAAAAATCAATATTAATTTTAAGTAAGTTGTAATTTCCACTGGCTGAGGTACAAAATAAGTGGAAAATGTTTTCTCGCACACCGCAGAGAGCTGGGCCCAAGGGGTTATTTTGAGTCACGTGCTCATTGTTGTTTGTCAGTTGCTTTTTTGCTGTCTTCTGTTGCTGATGGAAATTTCAGAGCATGATAGTTTTTTCGAGGCTTTATCGCCTATATCATTTGTTGTTTTTTGTGCTGTACCATGAGTGCAAAGACGATTAGGTCAAAGTCTCAGTCCGGAGCAATTCTTATTTTTTATGACTGTAGCGAAACCCTTCTCCAGTATTAATATTGATAAATATTCCCCCAGGTGATCAGGGAGACAATGATCTTGAGACTAGTCTACATTGTTCTTTCAACCAGAGGCTGCTCACCTCGGAGACCTGCTGTGGTTATTAGTACGACCGGACATGAAAATCATTGTCTCCTGATCACTTGTGATTTTGCAATGATTGCAAAGTGTGTTGAGAGCTTTACCAGTAGCTTTAGAGGTTTTGGCATTGTCAGGTACAATCAAAACTGGTGTGCCTCATCTTCCTGTTGATGATCTTAGCAGATCCCACCAGGTGGGATCCCGCAATCTCACATTTCGGTTTTGGAAAAAATCTATTTACTGGGTATTCTGGACTTAAAATTCTCTATTCATATGTTTCTCCTATGGTTATGGTTATATTATACTAGAAATGATGTGAATCACATTCTCTTCACAGACTTGACAGAACTATGCAAGATATTGTTTACAAGCTCCTTCCAAGGATTGAAAGGGGTGAGCTATCATTAAGAGTAACATGGTTAATATTAATCTTTTTCAAAACTGATTCAAGACATTGCCTGAAATATCTCACATGAAGTGATCATAAGACACGGACTATCCTATTAGTTTCTGTAACTGTTTCTGATTACATGTAGATGATACAATTAATTGAACCTTTCACTTTTACCCCAAGTTTGGTCAATGTTATTTGGACTGAACCCAGAATTTAAGTAAACCCAGCTACTTATATAACTTTGTTGATTAGTGCATCCTGTTTCTTTGATTTCAGAGGAAAGGCGCAGAGAACGCAAGTTCTATAAAGATAGGCAGATACCATATCCAACCCCCAGAGGTATTTCCGCTGATTTTAAGAAATGATAATATTATTATCTGCCCAGCTTGCAGTTCTATAATAGTCCATTTTCGAGTTCACTATGACCGCTGAATTAAAGAAGTGAAGATGCATTTTTTACAGCCTTAACCTCAATCTGAAGTAATATATTCACAAAGTCCAACGAGAAGAAGACCTGTTTATTACTCTGTCTATTGTGTATATTCAAATAATATTATTTCAAACACTTACTTGCCAGAATTTCTGAATATTTTTCTTTACGTCAAGGCTAACCCTGTATGAATGTGTTGTTAATTTTTGTATTCAGCTGTTATTTTTAATTTGAAAACTGTGGACTATTGTCAGTGCTTAAAATAATTATAAAATCTATATTTTTTCTGTCTGTTGGGTCTGGCCCTGCTCCAACTACATGCATTTCCATTTAATTGCTATAATGTGGGATCAAGAAAATGTTCTATAAATTGCAATTTAAATTTGTCGTTTTTGCTCCTTTACATTTACATCACTATCTGTACAGTCATTTTTTGTACCATTTCTATGGCTCTCGTGTCCATCGCATATAACACAGAAAGGAATTATGTAACAAACAGAAGGTGGTATCAAGAAATAATACTTGTTAATTATTGATAGTTCTGTTTTTTATTGTTTGTTTGTCTTTTTTCTGTTGTAGCTTGTCAGACTTCATCTGTACCAGGACCATCAAATGCTGTCAAGAAACAAACAGCATCATTACCCAAAAAAACAAGCAAACCAAAAGTAACAAAAAACTATCATAGAACAGATGAACAAATCTCTCTTCAACTTGAGACATTTAGGTTAGTGAAATAATTGATAAATTAATTTCGAATTAAACCCTGCCTTTTAATAGTTGTGAGATGGAGGCTGTGTGGTAGAGTGGTTAACACCTCAAACTCTGGATCTGGAGATCTGGGATTCAAGCCTCACCTGTCCCCTTGTTTCCTTAGACAAGGAACTCTACTCCACCTTGTCTCTCTTCACCCAGGTGTATAAATGAGTATCAGTGGCATACTGCTGGGGGTACCCTGTGATGGACTAGCATTCCGTCCAGGGGGAAGTAGCTTTAGATACTCCAAGGCAGCTTCATGCTAAGGAAATCTGAATAAGCTCCTGCTGTTTGGGCCTTTGACTCGTGTGCGCCGTTTACCTTACTTTTTTACCTTTAAGTTGTGAGATTTAGTGATACACCTGTATAGATTATTTAACTAGGCCTTAAGAGAGCATGACACTGTCTGTAAGATAACATTGTTTCCATAAATGAATACCTGGAGAAGATGTAACAAAGTAATGTACACCAAAAGCCACTGCAAGATGTTCACTTCTTTTTTTGACCAAATAGAATGTTATCAGACAGTGTAATAGCAAGTTCGCCCAGGGGTGGTTTTTACAATAAACTGGGGTTCCACTGTATTATGTACTATAAATCGAGTTCAAGGTATGTACTGTGAGTTACAGACCAAGTTTTTTTGCCATTGATTTATGGCCTCTGTGTGAAGTGCATTAACCGTCAATCAATGGGGAAAATGAGGATCTGTAACGTTAAGTATGGACTGAGAGTATGAGGCTAGTAAAAAAATTGTTTTATCTCATGGCATGGCATGTGGGAAAGGGAACATGTTAGGGCAGTATACTGAAATATGGCCAGCAACATCCACCAATCACAGTACATGTACTTACTAGGAGATATTATATGCGTAATAAACATCTGCTGATAAATTAACTGAATCAGATGTTTAACTCCAGTCCTCCTGTCTGAATACATCACCCAGACATATATTTTAAGAAGAGGCTTAATAAAATATTAGTTTTCAATTAGATTATTACATTATACAGTATATCTTACATGCCAGTTGTAAATAACAATTATTGTCCATGTAATTAGCACTGTTTTGTGGACTTTTTTTCTGGAAGTATCTAGCCAGCTTAGCCAGTGCGCACTCGCGTGGCATTGCTTGCTTGTAGGCTCGAAAATAGCGCTATATAAATCAAGTGTAATGTAATGTATAAATAAATAAATAGATATTACTATTACTAACTATAACTAACTTGATTTCTATGTGGCTGGATGATAATGTTATTGTTTACTAACAAGTCTTGTTAAAATTGCAGAGATGGAAGTGGTGGCCCAGCAAAAATACAGGTAAATGTTAACGTTGTTTCTTTTTTAGTTTTGAAATAGGTCAATGAGAAGCCATTGGAGTCTCATAAAGTCACTTGTATGCAATATTGAATAAATCAGTATTGACGAAAGTTGAAATAGAGCGGTTTTCACTTGACTGTCGAAAGGGATTGGTTTTGGTTTTGGTTTTACTACGCCCTTTGGTTGGCTAGTGTATTTACTTTGGGTTTGGGTTTACGACAGTCAAGTGAAAACCGCTCTAAAAGCCCAATTGATGCACTCTGGCTGCACTTATTTGCACCATAAATGTATCTGTGTTGTTGTTAGTCATTTTTGAATGGTTCGCTACTCTCAAGAGGGTAGGGAGGGGGTTCAGAACGTAAAGAATGTTATTTTAAAAAAGGGTATGCAGCGTGTAGGGAATATGGGAGTGAACTTTATATTTATTGGTTGATTGACTGATTGATTGATTGATTGATTGATTAATTGATTGGTTGATTGACTGATTGACTGACTGATTGATTGATTGATTGATTGATTGATTGCAGCCACTTCAGAAGAAATACATGAGACTCTCTTCTCAAGTCACCATTGGCTTAATACAAAGATTTTTGGCAGCTAAACTACACTTGGAATCTGCGAACATGGTGAAAAGATTGCAGTTTAGTTTGTCTCTTTTAAACCTAAATCGCTGCTCGTAAGATGCTTCGCGCCAAAAGTGAAACGCGCCCACCTGAAGCCGAAACACGCTTGTATTACTTCGTTTTCACTCGTACTCTAGACCGTTTCATTTTACCAGTGCTCACATTCATGGCCAACGCAAAATACGGCTTTTTTGCTGTCTACATATACATCTGTCGCCAGAAATGGTTACGGTGGAAAACATAAAAACAGTCACATTCTTGGAAACCAAGATAAGATAGATAGTGAAGCAAGAGAAAATTTCTGCGAGCAGAGGGTAAGAAATGGGTGCTGTCGAGTTTTTTCCCTTTTGGTACTGTTCCTCGCCTTACTATAAATTCGTGCCTGGTTTTATGAGGATGAAAAAACGCATGATTTTTACTCTGTGTATGGATTGCAACTTGCAGTCCGCCTTTGAATCCGTCGACTTCTCTTCCGTGGGCATCAGTACACCCTCGTTTATCGTGGCTTTCGTGTGCATACGCCCTCGTTTATCGCGGCTCGCGGCGGAAGTGATTACGCACAGTTTACTCTGTTCAGTATTTACACGCCAACTTAATTAGCTAGACGAGTCTTCTGATCGGATAGTGTGGTTATTAGTTGCCCTTGATCACATTGTTGTACAACTGATTGAAAAAACGTTGTCGCTTGAAAAAAGATTTGCATCTGCACGAGCAGCTCGTGATAATGAAGAGTTTTGTCGAAAGAACTTTGAATTCGCTTTTCTTATGAACGGACAGTCAACTCTCGCCAAGACGGACACCTTTGGGACCGACACTAAGTGTCCGTTTTAGAGAGATGTCCGTCTTATAAAGAGTCAAATAAAGGGAATAAACAAAGGCAGGGACCAACTTTAGGTGTCCGTTTTACAGAGGTGTCCGTCTTATAGAGGTGTCCGTTAAGAGAGTTGTATACCCATATCGCTCATGGTTTATACTCTTTAAGCGACAACGTTTTTTTAATCAGGTATATTATTTAGTGTAACTCGCACACTCGTTAATGACGTATCCTCTGTTAGGTTGGTATCCTGTTTGACAAAACGGAAATGGGGAAAGATTTAACGCTAAAATACATCAGCGAAAATCTCTGCACCCAAGAGGTATGGTTAGTTTTCTTTTTTAACTAAATGTTTGCTGACCATTAGTCTCCTATGCTGCCCTTCATGAGGGAATTAAAAGATCCGACGACGTTGACAACGCCGCTTAAAAACTGAATTCCCATTTTTTTAATCTTCATCGCGATGTTTCCATCCCACTTACTTTCCACTGGAATTGAATTTTTAACATCACTTTTGAGAATATATGTTGAACAGCATACGAAACGTCAAGTTTATAAAAATGCGAAAACTCGCAATGTTTATCACCGCTGTTTGTGTTTAATTTTTGATAAAACTAAGATGGCCTAAGAACAAGAGTCTCTATGATACCATATCCAAGTTCAGAAAGAGTAGGAAAATTTCCTCTTCGCTTGTTTACGTCTTCCATATAGCATAAAGTTAGGCATCGTTTCACGTGCAGTGACGGTAAAGAAATTACCCAGGTTGCCCCTAGGTCTGAGAATATTGCTGTTTTAATTTAGGTCAATTTCTTACTGAAGTCATTGCTTTGTGCCTTAACCCAAACACAAAATGTACCTGTTGCATTATGATGTCAAACAAATTTCATCAGGGAGCATCAACCATAATAATTATTTGTTTTGTGATTAGTATTAACCCTTTAAGCCCCAATATCCACATACAAATTCCCCAAACTGATCTCCATACATTTCCTTAAAGAATGAGTTGAGAGAATTTGATAAAAGATCAAGGCATTTTTACTCGGGTGATCATTTTATTAATTCTCATGACTTATCTGTTGACAATGTATGGGTATTGTTAGGAGAAAATTGATCTTGGTCACTATTGGGACTTAAAGGGTTAAAACTTGAAAAAGTTGGCCTAACTTTTTAAAGTTTCAAACCATGTCCATCGATCCTTGTCATTGCATCGGTAGCAACAGACGATAGGAAACAGTTACAGTGCCTGAATATAGTCATAGATAACAAAACTGGACCTTTATTTTTGGCATTTAATTGATGCGAAGACAAGTTTTAGCTGATTAAAACGATAGCAATAGCCTGACATTGTCTCTTTAAACCTCATGCTTTTTTGACGTTCTTGTTGCCATCGCCGTTGTTGCAGGACCTTGAGGTCCCTATAATTAAGCTATGCAATGCTACTTCCCGCAGGAGAAAGAAGCTGCCTTGTATCCAGTTATCTCTCTCTCGATGAAAATCATTCTTGTCCCCAGACCTCCTGTTCTCTTAGCCGGCGAGGTCTGAGCACGAGGACCAGGAGGTCCTCAGGCCCTCGTGCTCAGGGTTCCTCAGGCCTCGCCGGCTAAGGGAACAGGAGGCTCTGGGGACAAGAAAGAATGAAAATTTGCGCGCAAAGGAAGTGGGAAGCAACCTCGTTCCCACGGATCTCTCGTACCTGTCCCCCTCTCGCTCCGTAGACACGGGTAGGACGGAACCCTGGGAACGAGGTTGGGCGGGAAGGAGAAAACGGGCGAGATTTCGCCCCTCTTTTTTCTTATGCTCATTTGCGCTTCGTCACCAGTCACTCGCGTGTCACTCGCGTTTCGCGCTCGCGTCTCCTCAAAAAACGAGGCGCCTTAGGAGAGGCAGAGAAAGAAGTGTTCCGAGCCTTTTTTACTCGCACTTACAACATTTTTTTTTTTCCTTTTCAGGAAAATTCTTCTGGACCACTGATTCTTCATTACAGAGCAGTGGATGTAAAAAGCTGAATCATTGGGCAGTGCATGGTGTCAGAAACAGAATAATTACGTCTTGCTTAATAGCACAGTTAATACTCGCATCATGAGAGTAAATTAAAATTTGCAAGGATAGGAACAAGATGTCCTTGAAAAAATGTGTGCTCAAAAAGGTTTTTAAAGAATTCCTTCAGCCCGCATTCATCGCTGCGTTACCTCCCTTCGCCCTACAAAAATTTTTATGTTGCATTTCTGTTTATTACTTTACAACTTACTCATCCTACTTTATGACCAATCACACATCTTGTTTAGAAGGATAAAAGTGTGTTTACAGAAAAGTAAAAACAACCAGTAAAATGTGACTGAGAGTCTTTATCTAAAGTAGAGCTAGCCAAACCCTTGGCCTGACTTGGGATATTCAAGACCCACCCCTCCTCGTAACCCAACGTGGACAATAACTTCCTACTTAAAACAAAATGTTGGGTTTGGGGAGGGGTAGGTGGCCAGTTTCTCCAGAATCTTACACTGATGCAAATCTTCCTAAGGGAAGGAAGGGGAGGAACGATCGCCATCTGACTTCTTCCGAAACGTGGGTCCTTTTCGAAGAAAATAACCTCCCTTGAAATGTATGCAGTAGCTTAGCTATTGGCCTGGGAAATAAGCGTTTCTGGAGCGTTTAAGCGGGGTTTTGATGCGCTAGCGAGCGCCCCCAAAATGCAGGTGTTGCAGCCTAACGAATCTGAATGCTTCTGTTTTAACTTCCGCTGTCCAATTTGTCTAGTCAGAGCACTGAGAGAGAGAAAATCTCAACTTTCGGTTGCCATTTTTTGACGTCCGGGACGTTCAACGTTCTCGTTGCGTAAGCCCCCGATCGGGTTAAAGGGTGGGTTGGTTATCGTGTCTTGCATTACGTAGCACGGTCCGCAAGACCACCAAACTACTATTAACCACAGCGTGTTTAGTGATTGCCTTGGTGTTGTTCTAGTGCGTTGATGGTCGGCTAGGAAAATGTCGAGCCTATTTCCTGACCAATCACAGGTTTAATCTATACAATCCGGACTATTCACAACCATTTTCCCACCATAATGTTCTAATGCAATGACGTCGTAAAAAATATAATTTTGAAAATTGTGGGATTTGTTTGGATATTTTAAAAGAACAACATATGAAAGGCCCTTCTGGCCAAACAATAGCATTATGGGGCAAATTGTCTCGAAGATTCTAATCCCGTTTTGCTCTGATGACTCCACACAAATCCTTATAAATTTGACTCGGTTCCTGATGATATGAACTGAGTCGAATTTAGAAGGATTTGTACATGGAGTCATCAAAGCATAACTGGGCTAATTTGCCTTGGAATGCTAATTTTTGGCAAGTAGTCCTTTTGGATGTTCTTTCATAATACCCCGAAAAATCCCATAATTTCACAAATGTAATTTTTCATAACATCACACTTTACTATTGCCTTTAAGGTGGCTCGACTGGATTTTTTTAGGGGGATACCTCCCAAGTTTGAGCCTTAACTACGTCGGCATGAGTAAAGATATCGAAAAAAGGTTACCACAACTGTATTACATAAAGATGAAAATTTCTTATGATCTGGGTTTTATTGCAATCGGAGTCGCCATGGCAACGTAATGACGCCATTACGTTTTTCATTTATCTTTGTGTTTCTCTGTACCAGGAGTTTTTTGAGGAAATCGCTTAAGGGAGTATGTACCTGCCATAATTGCCTTCATTATGGCAAAGTTTGAAGAAATTCTATGAGAGCGTTTTCGAAATATTTTGAAATGCAGTTTTAAAAACCATAAAAACAGTGAAATGGCATGCTAGCAGCACAATTCGCTAATATTTTAAGAAAATGATAAGCTTTGGGAACGCGGCTTCATCTCACAGTGGATTGATTCCATTGAAAACTGCACACAAAAAAAGAGGGGAATTGCTCAGGGCGATGGCGAGTAAGAAGGATTTTATTAACTTGCATTCAGATGCTTTTGATACAGTTTTTGGAGGTAATTTAGTCCATGCCTAAAAATTTCGCATTTTTCCAAAAACCGCTCGATAAATTTTTTTATAAATTCGACAATTCCGAGATCAATCGTCAAGAAATATTCCCTGCAAGTTTTAAGAACATTGAAAACAGGGAAGGCTTTTAAATAGGGCCTCAAATATAGCCAATTTTCCTCCCAGATTTTGTGTTTACAAGCGAGCGTCCTCATTATTCACTGGCATTGTTTTCAAGTTTCATATACACGTGCACATTTAGCAAAAAGATAGAATTTACATCAAAAAGGACCCTCGGTTAAATCTCCGGATATGCTAATTAACGGGTAAAGAGGTAAGTGATACATTATAACATCAGAGCAACTCTTTGTGAGAGTTTCTGTGATGTTATAACCCGAGTAAGATAATGAAGTATTGCATCCTACACGATGAGCCGTGACGTTCACCGTTTCGGCTCTCACTGCTATCTGTGACGACAAGCCAATTATTAGCATATACCGGATATTTCTTCGGAAAGTAATCGAGAGTTCATCTAGATGCAAATTTATGTCTTCTGCTAGTTGTGCACGTGCATATGAAACTTGAAAACAATGCCAGTGAATAATGAGGACGCTCACTTGTAAACACAAAATCTGGGGGGAAAATTGGTTGTGTTTGAGTCCCTATTTAGAAGCCTTCCCTGTTTTCAATGTTTTTGAAGCTTGCAGGGAATATTTCTTGACGATTGATCTCGGGATTGTCGAATTTATAAAAAAATTTATCGAGCGGTTTTTGGAAAAATGCGAAATTTTTACGCATGGCCCAAATTACCTCCAAACACTCTATCAAAAGCAGCTGAATGCAAGTTAATAAAATCCTTCTTACTCGCGATCGCCCTGAGCAATTCCCCTCTTTTTTTGTATGCAGTTTTCAATGGAATCAAACCACTATGAGATGAAGCCGCGTTCCCAAAGCTTATCATTTTCTTAAAATATTAGCGAATTGAGCGGCTAGCATGCTATTTCACTGCTTTGATGATTCTTAAAACTGCATTTCGAAATATCTCGAAAACGCTCTCATAGAATTTCTTCAAACTTTGCCATAATGGAGGCAATTATGGCAGGCACATACTCCCTTAAGCGATTTCTTCAAAAAACTCCTGGTAAGGAGAAACACAACGATAAATGAAAAACGTAATGGCGTCATTACGTTGCCATGGCGACTCCGATTGCAATAAAACTCAGATCATAAGAAATTTTCATCTTTATATAATACAGTTGTGGTAATCTTTTTTCCATATCTTTGCTCATGCCGACGTAGTTAATGCTCAAACTTGGGAGGTATCAACCCCAAAAAATCCAGTCGAGCCACCTTAAGTCTGGTTGATTGACTGGATTGCTCGACTCTATGATTGGCTAGCCCTGGCTGGGGCAAAGATTAGTGTTTTTTTAAGTCTGACCGTACTCGACTGAAATTCGGAGCTGAAAGGTTTATTTATTCACAAACTGCCTGTCCTCCTAGTTAAAATCTTTTAACCTTTTTCTTGGCCCTCTAACTTCCCAAGAGTACTAAATTCAAAATTCCTATATTTTATGCGGTAAAAAATAAATAAACAAGCAAATGACGAAAAAATATACCAACCATGCAAACAAAAGCTGAAGAAATTTCATCTGAATGGTCCGAACATAATTTTGTGCACTCTCAAAAGTTAGAGCTACGTTCTTAAAAATGACTAAAAATACATTGACTCAGCGAAGCGCATCTGTACACTAATGATCATGGTTGTACAGGGGCGGATCCAGGATTTTTCTTAGCAGGGAGTGCACAACTAACTGACCGATGACGTAAAAAATTTTAAAAGCGAATACGAAGAAGAGGGCTTTTGACTAGGGCATAACATAATGTGAACTGCTGAGAATACATATCAAACGATAGAGCAGATTTTGTATGTCTGTCAAGCGACTGCACAGTGTTAATTAGAAAGCGGCCGCAGGTCATCCCAGGGGGGTGGGTGCGCATTCCCTGCACCCTCCCCCTGGATCCGCCCCTGTTATAATAGCATTGTTTACATAAGCTTAACTTAGCCTTAACCCTTTAAACGCCAGCGGTGATCAGCATCACATTTCTCCTTACGAGGCCACAGCTCAATCAACCATTAAGGTCGCAAGAATAAGGAAAATGGTCAACAAGTAACGTGGGTGGTTTGATATATGTTCTTCTCTGACACACAGTTACACATCGTTTAGTATTTGTAGCTCAACAAACGTGGAGTGATGTATTGGCAAGCTGTAACTTTTTGAACGGAACATAGCGTATCTTTTTTTCGTTCAACATGTTGAATAGCCTATTTTAACTTTAAAAATGGCATGATACGCTGCTTCAGCATTCTTAGAAAAGTAATGAATGGGGGAAAGTGTGCGAATATGCAAGCTAAAGTTAGGGTTTAACCCTTTCAACCCTAAGATCAAAATGTGAATTCCCATTCGTTGCCCCTATTCATTTCCTACAGAAGTAGTGAGGAGCATAGGCGTACGGGCCGGGGGGGCGAGGGGGGCTGCAGCCCCCCCAAATTTTGGGCAACTCAGTTTTTTTGGGCAGCAAGAGAAAATTGGGCAAAGCCAGTTTTTAAGGACGTCTCCATGGTTATTTGATTATTTTGAAGACCTGAATATTAACCTGAAGTCGGCGTAATAATCCAGTTACATTCACACGAGACAGTGGTTACCTAGCATGTGATAAGTAATTTATATATTTGTAGTTTCTTTTTGTTGGGCACCATACTGCACTGCCGCTGGAAGTGGGTTATTTCCAGTTGTGAATTGATTAGAATAAACTTTCGCATAACTTACTAGAATCATCTCCACTCGAAGAAGAGTGTATGGCAGATTGCACTAGAAGTGGTTCTGAAAATAAAGAAGTGGCTGACTAATTTTCAGTTTGAATTACGAGAAGAATCTGAATTCTTTTAAAGAATCTATCGTTAGGTTTAAAATTATTCGCTAATTTGGTAAAGTAGACCGAAATGTTTACAAAACCGCTAACAAGAGTGCCTTGATACGTACTAATCAAATCCCGCCTTCTAGCAATCGGTGCAGAGCTGTCTCCACGGTCTTTCACACACGTTTTTAGTGATTAAAACTACTATGAGGTTAAATTGCATGTCAAAAGCGCTTCGTTTTCTACAGATAACGGCCAAACGTCAAGATTTTCCTTTTCTTACAGTATTTCTTACGATAAAAACTTCACCCCAAAATATCTCGATAACTCTCTGACTTACAGATTTTGCTTAAACTTCTCGAACATCGAGGCGACCGTATTGGAGAAAAAAGCTCCTGTGAACGATTTTGTAAGGTTTCCAATGCCGAGAATTATTGCTGAAGTAAAATAGGTAATGGCGTCATTTCGTTGCTATGACAACTCCGCTGTCTTTGCAACCCTGATCATGACAAATTTTCATCTTAATACAACTATGGTGGCAATTTTTCCAAATGCTTGTTTATGGCGACATAGTTTATACTCAAACTTGGTATTGACCCTGAAAACTAACTGTATCAAGCCATCTTCATATGCCAGTACGGCCTATGTTGTTGTAATACGGCCCTCCTCTCTTTCCGACTCTTCCGTAAAAATTTGGGCAACCTGCGAGACTTTTTTTGGGCAAATGGTTTACCGCCCCCCCTGGCAAAACATTTCCCGTACGCCTATGGTGAGGAGAGGTTAATAAAATGTCAAGCAAATTCTTCTTGCGTGATCATGTGCGTAATTCTCATGCCCACTCTGTTTTACAAAGGATTGATATTACAAGGAGAAATTTGATGCTGATCTCTCTAAGAGCTTAAAAGGTTAAAGAGATGAAGAGTCGGAACACCATAGGCCCTATGCAGCTCACAGTCACATGACCTGCTTCAAGCGAAAAATGTAAATATACGAGATACAACTAAAACAATACTACAGATGGTCAACAGAGCACGAGTAAGTTAGCGAGGAAGCCAATTTTAAAGTGTTGACACGTATAAAGACTAAGATTTTATGGGCGTTAGAAAGTCTGCAAAATTGTAACGGTTTGCATTGAAAAAAGCGACTTTTCCCATAGCTATAATAATAACAATAATAATAATATTTTCCGTTTTTCAAATCACCATAAGATCGCACTGTTAAGGGTTTAAGAAACCTAAAAGTTAATAGACTTCTTGAAGGATTGTATCCCATATTTTGGCATGAGATATGTTCCGTAACCCCGAGTTGCAAAGGGCCTACTCCTATGGTACTCCTACCTCAAAAGATAAAGCATTGAAGCACTCTTGTCAAAACACATTCTATAGAAATAAATTGATCGTTCGATCAGCTTCCGAATATTTCCATTTTAGATATATACTAGCCTGTGAGCAAGCTCTCCGGGGCGCTCTGGCGGCGGCGGGGGAAGGAGGAAGGAGAGCTAGACACTACGTCTCTGGAATTTGAATTCCACCTCCAATTCCCCTGTGGCTCCTCGTCGACTGAGCTGTCAAATTTTCGCCAATCAGCGCAAAGCGGAAACGAGCGCGAATGTAAACAAACATTAATAAAACACAAGCCAAGGGTAATGACGCATTACTAAGGTCATCTCCGCCAATCAAGAGCATTTCGCATAGACGTTTTCGATGCAGACATTCAAATTCCAGAGACGCAGTTGCAAGCTCTCCTTTCTATTCCCACCCCGCCGCCAGAGCGCCCCTGGGAGCTTGCTCGCAGACTAGATATATACAGTCATAATGTCCTTCCCACCATGCTCTCTGTTCATCTCAACATTTACCCTTGTACATTTTTAGCTTGCCGCGTTTCAATTTCATCCTTGGTGCTGATTTCACTTTTCTCTACGTTTATAGGAAAATAAAATTTGCATCAAGGAACAACACACACATCTCTCACTTAACAACGCTATTCCAACTTGTAACAAGCAAAAGACAAAGTCTACCTATGTGGGTTAAAAAATATATATATTAAAAAAGAAATTCCGGGAAAAAAATTGTTAAAACTGTACATAGACTGTTTTCGATAAAAGTACACACTACTTCAATTCCCCATTCCAGAAGCTCTTGGAGAATAAGTAAATCGTTTGGGTTGACAAGCGTTAGTTATGATTGGTCAATAGTATTCGAGACAACAATTAACCAATCATAAGTAACGATTATCCACCCAAACGATCCCAGAAATCCTTGCGCCGAAAGCTTGTACCCATTCCTCTTATAGTTTCTGGAATGGGGAATGTCAGTGACGAGTCGATCACATGTACTCAAAAAATCTCTATACACTAGTTTCCTTTCGCTGTGGTTCTGGAGTCGTGCGCTTGAGATAAGGTACAGGAACAAACACAGCTGACGAAGGCTGCTCAGCGCCCCACTCTTTCTGCTTAGGTTTCGATCGCTCATCTTTCCAAGAAGACATGGACGACCGAGGGGTTCGCACTTTTGGCGTTTCACCTGGATTCACTAGTAAAGCTCTGTTAGCATTCTTCTGTGATTGCGATCTTGTTTCGCCAGCAGCTCGATTAGCACGACGAGACTGGCCATCAACTTTTCTTGTTTCAATACCAAGATTGTGGTGTATTTCACGTGCAATTTGATAAGGATTACGTCGTCTTCGACGAGAAACATGAACTCCATTCGGCTGTTCTAGCTCGAGTCCTGGCTTTGATGTTAGTTTATCTCACTATTTTAGGCTTAAAATCTATGAAATACGTTCCCAAAAGCAAAGTTGAATCTTTAATTTAGATTGCAAAAGATCATGGAAGGCCAAACTCACGCACGAGCCTTTTGGAGATATGTTTAGCTGTACGTTGCAAATTTGAATCAATCTAGGTCAGCATTCATTCGAGCTCCTAACTTTTATTTTATTTGCTATATTTCAAGTGTTATATTTGTTTGTAGGCTTTTGGCAGCTAGTTTTTGCGTACCTCTGCCCCCGAGTTGTCGACACCGCAGCTGATTTCAGCAGTTGCGGGCGTACATTCCCTTTTTTCCACAAAGTGCTTTTGGGTTTTCGTATCCGGCGGTGTCGTACTAAAGTTCTTTCGAGGTTTGTGTTTTTCATAGGGCGTTCTGTAATTAAGTACAATCTTGAAATCTTACGGAAATAAATTGGCTTTGAGGTCCTTGCTGACCTATAGGAAAAAGATCTTTCCCATCACCCGATTCGTCCGTAACTGCCCGCGCGGATCCACGCCTTTGTATACCGTTTGTAACTTATCCGCCCTGGTTTGTAAGGTCATCAATTTTAGCGCTCAAGGACTAATGACTTTGTCATCTATAAACTTTCGTAGGAGCAAGAAATGTTTCAAACCATACCAGGCTAAAAAGACAACAAAATGGTAACGTTGAGCCGAAAATGGTCATGAAAATCCTCCACTACCCACCTGCAGTTTCTTCCTTTTAATACCATAAGTCTTGAGTTCTCCAGAACATTTCCTACCGAAATGAGGCCCAGTAAATTCCCAGGACCAAAAAACTAAACAAGAATAAAGAAAAAGGACGGGAGGAGGGAAAGCGAAAGGCAAACATGCCACCACTTTTTAACCTAAAATATCGAAAATTTACTTTCTGAAAACACCCTTGCTTCCGAAGCCGATATATCGCATCTGAAATAAATAGAGAATACTTCATGGAAAGAGCTGGCGTACGGTATTTACGCACTCGTTGTTGACGTATCAGAAATCGAACGAGTGAGCGCAGCGAACGAGTAAGATTTCTGATACAAAAACAACGAGTGCGTAAATACCGTACAAAGCACTTTCCATGTGGTATTGTGTTTATTATATACATACTGAGACATTCATCATTTTGGCGGCCTTTTTATTTTAAATCTTTCAAAAATGCTAAAATTTGTCGCTACACACTTACCGCAAAATGACAACGAAAACGAAGTATCAGCTTTTTAGTAAAAACGTTTGTTAAAAACACAAATGACGGTGAGGATAAGAGGTAATCCAAGAACTATAAGTAATCTTAACTGTTTGTTCTCAATGCACAATTGAAAATGAGTGAATTTAAGTAAAATGGACGGTTTCAATATAAGCTTAAGCTTAAATGAAAGGCAAAGTAGCTCCGACAAAAAGCACAACAAAAGCTTACGCCTCGTTCTGTTTATCCCTTTCCGCGGTTGTTTCGCCGGCTCTCTACCGTTTTCTTTATCGACAGTGAAACAAACGAAACTATTCCACTCCATTTCCGAAATGTTTTTCACTTTTTTAGCGAGAAAAACTCTTTGAGTAAAACTTTTCTCGTTGAATGTGTGCGAAACGGCGCTGCAAGCTGCAATATATAAAAGGCGCGAAACTCGCACACCTCTGTGGCTTCTGATTGGACGTATCATTTTTCTCACACGTGAAAAAACATCGTTCGCGATTCTGATTGGACGTATCATTTTTTTTCACGTGTGAAAACCATCGTTCGCTCCTCTGATTGGTTAGAACTTATTTGCGTACTAAAATTTACGACATAGCTTTTTGGTGAGTATCTCTCAGTATGTATATAATAAAAGGTGTAAAGTGCTCGACCTGTAAACGACGTTCCTGGCAGTTTTGGCTCTTTATAGGCAGATAGTGAGCAGACAACGGCTCGTCTAGCCTCAAAACGCCTATATTCTAAAAAAGCTGAGCTGGTTTTGAAAATCTAAGCGCTCGAATACTTCTTGTATCTAATTGGCAATGTGTAAAACGACAGTTATTAAAATAACGCCATAACTGAATGGTTTAGTCGACATTGCTACGTTCATCGATGGGCCAATAAAAACTCGCGTTACTTGCCAACTTGCACAAGGAATCACCGTTCAAAGCCTATACATTCTTTAACTTTCCTTTCCCTTTGCTGATTGCTCAAGCTGTGCTCATTATAATACATTCCGTTGAGAGTAGACAGAAATACAAGCTATGCCACAGATTCATTTTTGTAGGATTTTCATTCAAATAAAAGTACTACACAGCCTCTTAGTGTTCCAAGCACATCTTAATTGCAACTAATCGCCGCGATAATAAAGCACATTTTGTTTTCTAACATTTCACTATATCAACCAAAATACTGACGTTATTGTATCAGCCCCTTCCTATAAAAACTCCTTTTCAACGGATAGACAGTATTACGTTTATAAAGTTCCCGTTATTACTAAGATTAGCAATTGAAATGTTTTAGTTCTTCACTACACAAAACATCTTCTTTGCTTGGACCTGACCTGATGGCCTCCTGCTCTATATCCACTTGTACAGGGCGCTGTTTATGTTGTGCTTCTGGCCATTGTAGGAGTTTGTTACTGCAAGGTAAGTATGACCTTTGTACTCAAATGACGTCATACCACGCGCCCCATTTGTTGGAATCTCTTGGTACTTGATGAACCGCGCCCCAGAGGCCTGGAACACAACTGACTGAGTGTTGTGTTTCTGACTATCACCATGGTGGTTAGCTACACCAAGGTACGTGTGGCCGCTGATCTCAAACGGAAACAATGCCATGGCTCCTCGAGTAGGAATTGACTGGAACAGGACGAACTTGCTACCATTCCACTTGTAAATAAAGGAATCGATGTTGTATTTACTTCCAGAGTAATAGTTGGCAAAAGCGAGGTAAGTGTGACCGTTGATGTTGAATGGCTTGACATCGTGCGCTCCGTAAGTCTGAAGAGACTGCAGTTTAACAAAGTGACCTCCTGACCATTTGAACACAGTGGACTGAACAGAATACTTGTGTTGGGAGTTGTAATAATTTGCAAAAGCGATGAATGTGTCACCGTTTATCACAAACGCCGTACATCCCACGGCACCTTCTGTTGGTATGTCTTGAAATCTGTTAAACTTGCCGCTGCTCCATTTGTAGATAATTGACTTTATAGAACGGGTACTTCCGTCACAGTGGTTGGCTACTGCAAGATAATGTTCCCCGTTTACCTTAATAAAGGTGAATTGGAGTGCTCCGTTTGTTGATAATTTCTGAAAGTCGACAAACTGCTTTCCATTCCATTGATAGACCGTAGAGTCCAGCCGGTGAGTTCCATCGTAATAATTAGTGACAGCAAGAAAATGTTTGTTAGCGATAGAAAAGTACTCCAGGTCATACGCTCCTCTTGTCTGTAGGGTCTGGTACAAAGACAATCTTCCAGTTGAGTTGTCCATCTTGTAGATCATGGAATCTGTCTTGTGTTTTTTAATGTCCCCATGAAAACTGGCGAAAGCAAGGAACAAGCTTCCATCAATGGTGAAATGTTCCACACCCGCTGCTCCTCGGGTTGGCAGATCTTGAACTTTCTCAAAGAAGTGGAATCCAATAGAGCAATCTTCCACAAGAAAAAGTAATGATGAAAATCTTTATTATCAAGTAATTACAAGGAATAAATCGTTAAAGAAATTTATTTCAGCGTTGGGGTCTTGCAAAAACGAAAGAGAAGCCATGTTTTTGTGAAATTAAAATCCGAAAACTCTTCTTGCCAGTTAATCAGTGTACTCATATATTGTAGACAACAGTAAGAAATCATGCTCTTACCGGTTAAACAGCACCTTGATTTGCTCTAAAACACAAAATAACAAGGAAAAATACAATTAAATAACAAAGCTTACAATCTTGTTAAGTACAATCCTAGACAAAAGCTCTAGGGACAGTCATGCAGTATTGGGTGCCCTTATAAAAAAGTGCATTTTCTCGCAGTTCTCCCTCCGTTCACCCTTTGCAATGTTGAAACTCGGAAAAATTCTGCATACACGAGTCCAACGTTGTTTGGAGGGGTAGAGAAGGGGTTGGGAATGGGTAAATTGAAAAAAGCCCCACAAATGCAAATGTTTCGCAAGACTTTTGTCCATGATTGTAGTGATATATGCTATAAGGTGGAACACCTGTACAGTTAAGTTTTTCTAACAGAAATATCCCTTGATCGGACATAAAGAGATGGAGAAAGGCTCTCGCTTTCAAAATGACATTACGCTAATTTTAAAAAATGACATCATTTTTTAAATCTGACCTTAGTAAACATAGGCTTCGAGTATCACTTTGTTCTTCTTTCCTTAGCCTGGTGGGGCATGCAAGCTAATTTGTATTCGACTTTTAGAATACTCGATTCACTCACTCGATTCGTTCCATTATTCACGCGGCCAAAACCAAAAATCCCGTTCCTCGGTCTTTTTTTCCTCCAAAACCGCACGGAAACGCTTTGCTACGCAGGCTATGGTTAAATCAATATGGCTTATCTTCCTTAACTAGCATCTCCCAAAATCAACCACCAAGAGTCGGTCCCTGAGGTAGTTCAGTCATTTTCCTAAAAGTACACTTAATAAACTTGGACACCTTTCAAAAGAAGGACACTGGATTCTTCCAAAACGCGTTTTTCCATGGAAACGCACTTCAGAGGGAATACAGCCATTGAATATGACAGTAATGATGATCTGGGAAGCTTTATTTTATTGATACAATAAAGTTTCTGCTATCGGGGTTTTTCAGTCTTTGCTTCTTTTTAGGCAAAAATCAACTGTTGCCTAAAGAAAGGGTAATTTAATCAATATGGCTTATTGTAATAAGGATTTATAACTATCACCTAAGGTAACAAAGAATTAAAATCTGGAAATTGTTCTGAGGCAGTAATTACCTTTGAATCACACGTTCCCGGAATTCCTTTTTGTCCTTGTGATCCCTTCTCTCCTTGTAATCCTTTGTCACCACGAGATCCTTTCTCACCCTTGTAAAAAAGTATATTTATATAGTAATAAATTAAACATCTAAATACTTGTATTCTTGGTAGAATTTATTTCGCAGAAGGCTCAATTCATTTGATTGAAAAGCAATGACTATAACTTTACAGGAGTTCAGGCTTCAGGAGTAATCATCGTTTATTGCGACAGTGCTGTTTCGTATGGTCGGAAATTATAGAACCACACACTCATCAGACAACTTCAACGTTTGACAGTTAAAAATTAAAAGCTGGCGGTAAAATTTGGATGGTTGTTATACGGATGCGTTACATTCAAGAGATGGTATCTAAAATCAGCGACAAAATTGTTGAGACATCACATTGTACTCAAATAGGGTAACTTAGGAGAACAAAAGAATCCGCGCCCCTCCCCTGTCCCCTCCATCCAAAGTTGGGGTGTTTGTTGTTTTCTATACGTAGCTCGAACATTGGCACAACATTGTATGGAGGGGATGGGCGAGGAAAAGCTATATTTCCTCCTTTTGAGGTTAGTAAAACGTAAAAAAGCCCAGTTTTAGGCAAAGTGTCTCAACTCATTTTGTCGCTGATTCATGCCGATTGTAGGTAACAGATGCATTGTGTCTTAGTTACGTTACTCTAAAGTTCCGGAGTACATATTTGTTTCTGTGGGGACATGAACTCGCTAGTTCGTTTAGCCTGTTATGGCTACACAGCTATTTTTTACAAATGATGATGAATTTTTCATAAAGGGAAAAATTACATTTTTTGCTACTGTTGTTGTAGGGTTTACATTTCTTTAAAACTTTCCACTTTATCTGGAAAGGTTTCTTGGTGTCTTGTAAAGTCCAAACATATTTTGAGAGTTCTGTTTCATTTCTGATGATTTCTGTAACGTTCCTTAAAGTTTGTTGCCAGTCCGACGTAAGTTTCAGTTGTTGTCGCTGTGGTTACTGTGGCTCGGTAGAATCAACAACAACAACAACGAGTGGACTGTCTGGTTTTTTTCCTGCAATTGCAGGTGTCAGGTTGAAGCGGTGGTGAGTTAAAACTTGAAAGAGCGTGCTTGTTGTGTGACGAGATGATAGATTTCATGTTTGGCATGCATAAGTAGCTCAGTTGTAAACGCATCCCTATAACAACCATCAAAATTTTACTGCCAGCCTTTAATTTTTAACGGTCATCGTTGAAGTTACCTGATGAGTGTGATCCTATATAATTTCAGACCATACGAAACAGCACGTAATAATATATATAGAGGATAATACATGGCCGCGCGGGGATACAAATTTTATCTTCGAGTAAGAGATGCTTTCAGCACAAGAAGATAAAATTCGCATCCCCAAGCGGCCATGTAATGTTCTGTTTATTTTATAGATACTGATGAAATTCCTACATAAAACACAACTTTTTTTAAAATTCATTTTCGAAACAGCAAAATAGTGCAATTAAAGTGGTCAGCTATCGCAAAATGCCTGTCACAAAAATGTTATGAAACTCGGATATAAAGTTATAAAGGAGAAATAAAGACAATAATACTTTAATAGTAACCAGAGCGGGAAGCTCTCTTGTAATTGGCTAATCATGTTAGTAACCATCAAGCAACACCAATATCCTCACACGTGAAAGATAAAAATAGTATCTTCACTGCGCGCGATGAAGATATGACTTTTTAAGGTGGCTCGACTGGATTTTTTGGGGTTGATACCTCCCAACTTTGAGCATTAACTACGTCGGCATGAGTAAAGATATGGAAAAAAGGTTACCACAACTGTATTATATAAAGATGAAAATTTCTTATGATCTGGGTTTTATTGCAATCGGAGTCGCCATGGCAACGTAATGACGTCATTACGTTTTTCATGTATCTTTGTGTTTCTCTGTTCCAGGAGTTTTTTCAAGAAATCGCTTAAGGGAGTATGTACCTGCTATAATTGCCTCCATTATGGTAAAGTTTGAACAAATTCTATGAGAGCGTTTTCGAAGTATTTTGAAATGTAGTTTTAAGAATGATAAAAACAGTGAAATAGCATGCTACCTACACAATTCGCTAATATTTTAAGAAAATGATAAGCTTTGGGAACGAGGCTTCATCTCATAGTGGTTTGACTCCATTGAAAACTGCATACGAAAAAAGAGGGGAATTGCTCTGGGCGATCGCGAGTAAGAAGAATTTTATTAACTTGCATTCAGCTGCTTTTGATACAGTTTTTGGACGTAATTTGGTCCATGTCTAAGAATTTCGCATTTTTCCAAAAACCGCTCGATAAATTTTTTTATAAATTCGACAAGCCCGAGATCAATCGTCAAGAAATATTCCCTGCAAGTTTCAAGAACATTGAAAATAGGGAAGGCTTTTAAATAGGGCCTCAAATATAACCAATTTTCCCCCCAGATTTTGTGTTTACAAGTGAGCGTCCTCATTATTCAGTGGCATTGTTTTCAAGTTTCATATGCACGTGCACAACCAGCAAAAGATATAAATTTGCATAAAAAAGAACTCTCGATTACTTTCCGAAGAAATATCAGGAATATGCTAATAGTTGGCTTGTCGTCACAGATAGCAGTGAGAGCCGAAACGGTGAACGTCACGGCTCATCGCGTAGGATGGAATACTTAATTATCTTACTCGGGTTATAACATCACAGAAACTATCACAAAGAGTTGCTCTGATGTTATAATGTATCATTAATCTCTTTACCCGGTAATTAGCATATCCCGAAGATTTAACCGAGGGTCCTTTTTGATGCAAATTCTATCTTTTTGCTAAATGTGCACGTGTATATGAAACTTGAAAACAATGCCACTGAATAATGAGGACACTCACTTGTAAACACAAAATCTAGGGGGAAAATTGGTTATATTTGAGGCCCTATTTAAAAGCCTTCCATGTTTTCAATGTTCTTAAAACTTGCAGGGAATATTTCTTGACGATTGATCTCGGGATTGTCGAATTTATAAAAAAAATTATCGAGCGGTTTTTGGAAAAATGCGAAATTTTTAGGGATGGACCAAATTACGTCCAAAAACTGTATCAAAAGCAGCTGAATGCAAGTTAATAAAATTCTTCTTACTCGCGATCGCCTAGAGCAATTCCCCTCTTTTTTCGTATGCAGTTTTCAATGGAGTCAAACCACTATGAGATGAAGCCTCGTTCTCAAAGCTTATCATTTTCTTAAAATATTAGCGAATTGTGTAGGTAGCATGCTATTTCACTGTTTTTATCATTCTTAAAACTACATTTCAAAATACTTCGAAAACGCTCTCATAGAATTTGTTCAAACTTTACCATAATGGAGGCAATTATAGCAGGTACATACTCCCTTAAGCGATTTCTTGAAAAAACTCCTGGAACAGAGAAACACAAAGATATATGAAAAACGTAATTACGTCATTACGTTGCCATGGCGACTCCGATTGCAATAAAACCCAGATCATAAGAAATTTTCATCTTTGTATAATACAGTTGTGGTAACCTTTTTTCCATATCTTTACTCATGCCGACGTAGTTAATGCTCAAAGTTGGAAGGTATCAACCCCAAAAAATCCAGTCGAGCCACCTTAAGTAAAAGGAAAAATCCTATCCTAATCTATATAATAAAACTAAAGATCTCGATTGAACTTTAAAAACTGATCTCCACATTTACAGCTGCAAAGAAGCAGGAACACTAAAGAAAATTAAATGAGTGGTTTGTTGCTGTATGGATAAAGAATGTACATCTGCTTTTCTTTTTGTCTTGGACACTGAAAATTAGTCATTTCTGTCCTCAGCCTAAGAAGCATAAATTTACGCTTACTTTAACACCACCATTACTGGTTTTATCCATTCCGGGTTCTCCTTTCTCCCCCTACAACAAAAATAATAATAACCACACAAGATAATAATAATTATAACAATAATTAATAATTAATAACAATAATAATAATAATAATAATAATAAGTAATTAAATAAAGCTATTAAACAGTAATAAAATAGTGGCAATGACGATGATGAAGATAATAGATAAGAACTGAAGATAATAAAAATTACGAAAAAAATTAAACTAATGATCAGATGAAATTAATTTTAAAAGATAGGAAACAGGGTGGAATAATCTAACTTAAAGCCCAAGCCTGCAGATTTTAAGGTTACTGAAGATGGTTTGATAGGTTGTTGATCATTACCATTCATTAAGGTCAGTTATTTAAGACTCGTTGCTGGTATTGTAAAGTCCCTTTGGTAATAAGAGTAGAAAGTTACCAAAACTTTTGTAATCATCTAAGCAACGTTTTTCAAATTAATCTTATATCGTATTTCTATTATTTTATTTTTTAAAGCAACTTCTAAGCATTCTTCTCGACTTGTCCTCACACTTTTTTCTTTAAAAGCTCATTGGCTACTTATCTCCTCATGATTAAAATGTTAACATGCATAGTAAATGCATAAAGCAATTTCTAAAAAAAACTCTCTTCTGCAACCTTAAAGTTAAAATAAGGAACAATGTTAAAGGAGCCGATGCTAAGAGAATAGCTAGTTTGGTGGTCTTTACTGTGGTGAATATCAAACAATAGTTAACTGATCTGGTTATGATTTTTATGATTTTGCATTGTTCAACTTAAATTTATATTCAATGACGTTTTATAGAAGGATATGGATCCAAAAACCAAAAACCTTCATTTAAAAAGCAGTATATGTCAATAATACCTTAATGCCAGCATTTCCATCTTTTCCTGGTATCCCTGTATTTCCTTTTTCTCCCTAACGTAGACATTTTCAAATAAATATGAAACCAAAACTGTGAAAACTATCACTGAAAAATAACCACTAATTTAATTTATCTACTCTCTATATTAGCTTCTGTCTCAGTGGTAAATAAGGACAAAAATGTTGGCGCATGGTTGAATGTGGAAGGTGAAGAACCATTCCATGGACATACAGGTACTACCACTAAAATGAGTTTTTTATCAATAAAATTTTATTTATCATAACAAAAAAATTAGGAATCAACACATAGTGCACTTTTTTTGTTAGTTTAAGTAACCAAAACAGCTCCATGCCAACTATTTTAATTTAGCATTTTGGTCTGAGTTTATCTACACACCTGCTTAGTTATTGCGTTAACACTGTTATAACCATAGAATAGGACAAGGAAGGTTACACTACATGAATCTTAACCCAATCGTCCTTAAACCCCTCGTGACTGCCCATAAGGGTCCACGTCCCTTCACTTGCTTCTGCACATGCCCGAACTTCAGAAGCTGATATTTTGCATCTGGAACAGAAGACCTTGTAGTGCACAACCTCTAAATGGCTTTTTGGTACATTTTAGCTCTTTATTACCAGACAGTGACCAGAAAATGGTTTTGACAAGCTTCAAAGCATGTTTCAGCAAAATTCCGAGGGGTAAATGGGTTAGCTAATCTCTAATAATGTTATAGTTCATTATTACCTAGGTCCTCCTAGGGAGTGGAGGTGGGGGGATTATCAGGCTCACAAAGACTTTTTCAAGGCCTGACACTAAATGAAAAATAGACATATTTTTGAAAGGGGGAACTCAGCTGTTACATGGTTGTCACAGACATCAATTTTATACTTTACAAAAACGATTGACTCCCAGCAAGACTTCCACAACCTTTTGACGACAGCATATTGTCAACGTTTAAAGTGTAAACAAGATAGGTATCAGTACATAAAAAAACAATGAAAGTGTGAAATTACATTTTATTATGATAAAATATAATTATTAAACTGAGGTACAGGTGTATGAAATACAATTTATTCACATTTGTATAGTACCGCTTCAAAAAAAATTAGCAGGTGCTGTTCCTCTTACTGGTTATTGCACCAGCAGCAAGGAGATATAATTAGTTTTACAGTGAATCAGTGGGGAAAAAGCAAATCAAATAGTTTTATGTAGCAATTTTTATTTGTCCAATACACAGTGACACAACTTTGAAAAGATGACCAACTATTTTGGAGTTGTGTTCCATTCTATAAGAAGTCCATAATTTGTATTATATTTTAGTCATGTTTCATTTTTGCAAACTATCTGGTTACAGTGACTGTAAAAGTTGATTGTTACACAAGAACATTTAACTAATATTTATTAATTTTTTAAAAATAATTTTACATCTTATTCTTCTTTCTCTAGAAAGAGAAAAGCCCAAATGTCCAAAAAAAACCTCTTTTTTGGCAACTTGTTATATTCACACTACAGGGACCATTTTATTGGAGACCTACAGCTCCCTAGGTTATTTAATTTGAATTTCTGAAAACTTTTCAAGGAAAAAGAGAAAGCAATGTTTGCAGCTTAAAAAGGCCAACCTTTATTCCACTGCCATCTCGTCCATCACGGCCATCTTTTCCTGTGTTCAAGACAATAAACAAATTAAAGTGATACAGAGGAACCTCAACATCATGAACCTCGATATAATGAACCTCTATATAACTAAATCCTCGGTATAACAAAATATTTTCTTTACCCCAGTAAAAGTAAAATATATGAAAAAAAAAATCAATAAACCGAAACCTCGTTATAGCCTGCTATATTATTGCCAGTCCTTTGGCCCTTCATTGTATTCAAGTTGTGCTGTACTGGTGCTCTAGCAGCGTCCAGTCAGTAGCCCCTAAAACCTAATACTTTTGATCTTGAGCAAAGAGGAAATCTTAGCTTTCCCATACAAATCTGATGCTTGGCTCCCTGTTTTTCACAGGTTCAGAGCACTGGACACCTTATAATTTTTCTTGGAACACAGCCTTGGATTAGTAATATTACAAGCTAGGGTAGAACACTGACAACAAGCTACAACAGGGGGGATGACAAGAAGGAAACCCATGGTTAAGATTTATTTTGAGAATAATTACAGTATGCCTGACAACTCTAACACATTATGCATGAGTTTCATGCCTGGGGACTTATTTCTAGGCCTTGATTTCACTCATCAACAAGGACAATTTTTCACACCTGAAAACAAATCCAGACAAATTGTTCTTTAACACATGATTAATGACAAAAATACAATTCAATTTCCCTTTGACACTTAAAATAACTTCAGAATTGCTCAATGGTTGTCAGAACAACTTCACACATTTTTTGGCAAAGTTTGGAAGTCTTCGGAAAATTGTTGGAAATGTGTGGAAGTAGCTGGGACGTTTTCAGAAACTCCTGTCATAACAGGACGAAAATCTCATGCATTAATTAATTTGACTCAGAAAGAGTTGGCAAGTATATTATTTTGACATGTTGATCTTTGTATAAAGGATAATCACAGGCGTCAAGAGGAGCCTGCAATTCTAATCTCCAGGTTGTTATTACGTATGTGTTGCATGTATGTAGCCATTCGTTTGGACTTCCACAAAAAAATGTATGGAATGCACAGAACACACTTTGAGCACGTGCATTTGGACCTTATATCACAGCTTGTAATCACATTTATTTTGACCACCACACAAAGCACAGCACTGGATTGAAACGAAAGCGTTTTGACATTCAATCGTTGTCGCCCACACTCCGCAGCCTTTATTACTAGTAATATCTAATAAAATAATGTACATCACCATTCACTCCATCGCGCCCATCTTTTCCTGCAATTACCAAAAATAACACTTGATTATACAAGTGACTAATTATTTACTAAATCATATAATGTTGCATTAATGTAAATGGTAATGAAGGAAAATTGTTGCATTTTAATGTGACTCACCATGTTGTCCATCCTTTCCATCTTTGCCTTAAATTATTAAAAAAATACAGCGATATGTCAATGAAACTCACCACTGAACTAAATTACCATCCACACAATCTTGCTACAGCAGAACTAGCAAGTTGTTATGTGTATAACCTGAACTGATCCCACTAATGCAATACTTAAATGTACTTTGCTGGCCTTAAATACCTTGATTTCTGGTAAATTTTAATCTAAACATACTAAGAAGATTTATTTTTTGTTTTTGGTATTAGCTGGTATTTTTCCATATCCGTGGATTATTATTTTGTTGAAAATCAATTTTTAAAATAAATTGTAAACTCACCATCCTTACAGCAACCAGCTTGAGGTACAACTTTACAGCTTTTAGACTTTGCTGCAGATCCATTAGCCTGTTAGATTCAATTTGGGAAATTTAACATACTTTCATGACTTAAAGAAAGACTGCAAACTCTAGATAAATGATATGAAAACATTCATACATTCATACTGTAGCCGGAGAAAATCCCCGGCCCCTGTCTCTTGATGACAGCCCTGCCTAAGCTTGCAAACTGTGCGCGATGACGTAAGAGTTTAGGAGCGCGCTAGGCCTTCTGGGAGAGATCCGAAAACGTGTTGCGTTCTTGTAGCCATCTTGACGATCTGTGAGCCTTTAGTGAACTGAATCTGTGGAATCCTGTGTGATCCTTTAGAAGTTGGACCCTTCGGAGTGTTGTAACCTTTAGGAATCGAGCCTGACAATCCTTGGAATAAAATACAGTTCATATTCGCCTACATGGTCCATCGTTAGCCGGATAAAAGCGGATTCTACGTACGAGTTGTGAGTGAAGTTGTGTTGTGTTATGGCCGAAGAACTCGCCAGAAAGCGACGGCAGCGTGCAGGGCACAGGTCAAGTGCGAAACGTATTATTTCATCCGTTATTGATGTCCTTGGAGGAGGAGACATTTCTCAAGTGCGGGAACACGAAATCAAGCTGAAACAACAAAGGGACAGCCTACAGCAGAAACTCAATACTCTTCGGCAACTTGATGCAGAAATTCTTGACCTTGTGGCCGAAGAAGAAATCGAAGGTGAAATTGAACGAGCAGATTTGCTGGAGGAAAATGTTCAGTTGGCTATTGCTAACATAGAAAACGCCTTGTCGCCGAAGGTCGTGTGTTCAAATGTAAATACCGAAGCGAACGTGTCGGAAAGCACGTCAGCAAATGAAGTTCAAATCGGGAGTAATTCTTCGCCTCCTTCAGCTTCAACGTCGAATTCCTCTTCATCTGTGCGGAGAAATACTCAAGTTAAATTGCCAAAGCTGGAGTTAAAGAAGTTCGACGGCGATCACAGTAAGTGGATTTCTTTCTGGGATAGTTTTGAAGCCTCAGTTCATAAAAATGAGAGTTTAACTGCCATTGACAAATTTAACTACCTAAACTCGTTGCTCGAACGGTCAGCGGCAGAGGCCATTTCCGGGTTAAGTCTTGGGGCATCGAACTATGAGGAAGCAGTAGACATTTTGAAAGCTAGATTTGGCAACAAGCAGCAAATAATTAATCGTCACATGGAAATTTTGTTGAATCTTGAATCTGTCACATCTCACTATCATGTAAGAAGCCTACGTCAGCTGCACGACACTGTTGAATCTAATGTGAGAAGCTTAAAGTCATTAGGAGTTTCACGTGAATCGTATGGGGGTTTGCTATCATCCATCTTAATGAATAAGCTACCTCAAGAATTTCGTCTTGTTATTACAAGAGAAATGGGAGATGATGATTGGCAGTTGGATCAACTGCTCAACATTTTTAAAAGAGAACTTGAGGCAAGAGAAAGGGCAGGAGGGTCTACAGTGAACAAAGGACAAACCTCTCCGCCAAAACCGAAACGAAGGGAAGAAGGAACTACACATGCCTTGTTAACTGGTGGTGATGCTAACTGTCCCACCTGCACCTACTGTAGGGGAAAACACCCATCAAGGGATTGCCAAACAGTACCTGATGTACTAGGTCGTAAGGAGCTTTTGAAGAAGTACGGGAGATGTTTTGTTTGCCTGCGAAAAGATCACATTAGTCGTAACTGCTCAGCCAAATTCAAGTGTCATAACTGCAAGGGCAGACACCATGTTAGTATTTGCCCAGCCAACCTGAGTCCTTTACAGCCAACGAAACGTGAAACACCAGTTCCCACACCAGGACCACAACAGCAATGCTTAACAGCCCAAACTGCCAGCAATAGTGTCGTTTTTCATACTGATTCCACTACACCTGTGTTCCTTCAAACTGCCCAAGCTGTGGTGTACAATCCTCAACAGCCAGAGGTTAAGGTCAGGGCTAGAATAATCTTGGACAGTGGAAGTCAGCGCACCTATCTTACAAACAACCTGAAGAACATTCTTCAACTACCTACACTAGAGAAGAAGCAAGTCTCAATAAAAACCTTTGGAAGTACCGTTGAAAGATTAGAGTTGGTAGAAGTTGTGGCCCTAGGAGTAGAGCTAAACGGAGAACCAGATCTTTCACTGTCAGCTTTTACATTGCCTCTAATTTGTCAACCATTACAAGGTCAACCTGTGGAACTAGCAGTGAAAAATAACCCCTGCCTTTCGGGACTCAAACTAGCTGACTTTTGTACCGAAGGAGAGACTCTTGGTGTTGACATTCTAGTTGGTTCAGATTATTATTGGAAGTTGGTGACTGGCCACACCATTAAAGGGGCCCAAGATCCTACAGCTGTTCACACCAAACTGGGATGGGTACTTTCAGGACCCGTTTGCTTAGGGAGTGTAGAAAATCAACAGAGAAGTAATCTTGAGACAACCCATGTCTTAAAATGTGCTACTGATCAAGTGTCCTATGGTGGTCTTGAGGGAGAGTTGAAGAAGTTCTGGGACTTAGAGTCTCTCGGTGTGAAGCCGCCAAGTGTCTATGAAGAGTTTGTTGAGAAGTTGTTGTACAAGGGAGACCACTATGAGGTCAGTCTCCCGTGGAAGGCTACACATCCACCACTCCCTGAAAATTATGAGTTGAGTCTTCGAAGATTGCAAGGTTTGCTGAGTCGACTCCGTGAGAAGCCAGACATCCTGAAGGAGTATGACAGTGTTATAAAGGATCAAATCGAAAGAGGAATTGTGGAAGTTGTGAATGAAGAAACCAAGCCTGATGTCGTCCATTACATCCCTCATCACGCTGTTATCAGACGAGACAAGTCAACTACAAAGTTAAGAATTGTATATGACGCCTCAGCCAAGTCAGATGGAGCTTCATTAAATGATTGTGTTCATGCCGGTCCTGCGCTTACACAAAGTATCTTTGACATTATGTTGAGGTTCCGAAATCACAGAGTAGCTCTGGTGGGAGACATTGAGAAGGCGTTCTTAATGGTCCATATGAATGAAACTGACAAGGATGTACTCCGTTTCCTGTGGGTCGATGACATCGATAAGGCTGAACCTAAAGTTATTACACTGAGGTTTACACGTGTTGTGTTTGGACTCTCTTCAAGCCCATTCTTACTGAACGCCACAATTAAACATCATATAGAGCAGTATGAACAATGTGACCCTGATTTTACCAGGAAGTTTCTTGAAAGTATCTATGTTGATGACCTGACATCGGGGGACAGTGACGTGGACAGCACCTTTGAGCTCTATGTGAAATCGAAATCGAGGCTCAGGGAAGCAGGTTTCAATTTGCGGAAGTTTATCACAAATTCAGGAGAACTGCGAGCGAGAATTGAGGACAATGAGAGATTGCTCTCAGGAGAAACAGCTTCTGGAGATGGAGGGAATGTTGACAAGCAGGTTGTTGAAACACCAGTAGTAGACACAAACGTCGTGGAAGAAGAAGATATGACCTATTCAAGAAGTGTTCTAGGAAGTGCAGTTGAAGATGTTAGCGTTCAAAGAATTTTAGGGACTCTATGGAACTATCACAATGACAACCTCGTCTTTGATTTTACAAACACTGCCTCTTTAGCAAAGAGAGTGGAACCTACTAAGAGAAACGTGATTAGCACAGCTTCAAAAATGTATGATCCACTCGGTCTGATTTCTCCGATCACAGTCCAGTTTAAAATCCTGTTTCAAGAGTTGTGCAAGGACAAGAGAGACTGGGACGAACCACTGGAAGGTTCTTGCAAGTCAATCTGGCAGAGATTGGTGACACAACTGCAGGGTGTTAAACCTCTTACTCTTCCGAGATGTTATTATGCCGGCACGGAAGGGGAAGTGATTGCGAGTGAACTGCATGGGTTCTGTGATGCATCAGCTAAGGCATACGGTGCGGTGGTCTTTCTGCGTATTGTGACGACGTGTGCAAGTTATGTCAGATTTGTATCTTCAAAAACACGAGTAGCACCTCTCTCGGAGCAGACCATACCGCGTCTAGAACTGTTATCCGCGGTAGTCCTGTCCAGACTGATCCATAACGTAAAGGAAGCACTTAGTTCTGAGATGAAGATTGACAAATTGTTTTGTTGGACAGATTCCAAGATAGCCTGGTATTGGATTGTTCAGAGCCAGAAGGAGTGGAAACCATTTGTTCAGCGCCGTGTTGACGAGATAAGAAAGCTTGTACCTGAAGAATGCTGGAATCATTGTCCAGGGGCTGACAACCCAGCCGACTTACTCTCTAGAGGTATGGACTGTCGTGAGTTGGAGAACAGTGTGCTATGGTGGAATGGTCCCAAGTGGCTGACTAGTTTCGAAGGCCTGGAGAATCGGAAGGAGATTGCGGAAGAGCCAGTCCCTGAAGCCTGCCTTGTAGAAATGAGGGTGAAGGATCGAAAGACAGTAACGACTGCTCTTGCAATGAACAGTGAACCTACTATGCTGTCTAATATCATTCAAAGTGAAGCCTTCAGTAATCTTGGACGTCTCCTGCGAGTTACAGCCTTAGTTCTGAAGTTTATTAAGCTATTAAAGGCACAGCGACAGGGAGATGTGAATCAGAAGCCGGAGATACGTGTGACCGGTGCAGACATAGAAGAAGCCGAACTTCTATGGATCAAGGAAGTACAACGAGAGATGACGAGTAAGGAGAAGTTTAAGATGAGGTCGCACCAGCTAGGGTTGTTTGAGGACGATAAGGGAGTTATTCGATGTCAAGGTAGACTCGGGAACAGCGAGCTTACAGATTCTGCGAAGTATCCAATCTTGCTTGACGCTAGCCACCACTTAACTACACTTGTAGTCTGGAGATGTCACGAAAGAGTCATGCATGGAGGAGTTAAGGAAACACTCACCGAGTTGAGATCGAACTTTTGGATTGTTCGAGGCCGATACTTTATCAGAAGTTTGTTGTTTAGATGCACAGTTTGTAAGAAGTTTGAAGGGAAACCGTATAAGGTTCCACAAGCTCCACCCCTGCCTAACTACAGAGTGAAAGAGGCACCTGCATTCTCGTACATCGG